TAACGCATGTGCAGGAAAAAAATATTTTAATTTCATGTTGTCCAGAAACCCGAATATTTTGATTATTGTTTTGCTCGATTTCAGTGTATCACATTTTTTGCGACACTTTACGTCATCGGTCGCTGCCAAGGTGTGAGTGGTGGTTCGTTGTTATGATGTGAGCTCCGGTTGCTTCTTAAAAGAAACTATTACAATATATATATTTATATATATATATGCAGCACCGGGGAGAATAAAGTTGCCAAACAGAGATGGGTTCCTGTCTATTTAAGAGTGCAACACATGTTTAGAGATATTTAGGGGGCACTAGAATAATTAAAAATGTGTTACATCGTATTATGGATATCACATACCTGACGGTGCTGTGTTCACTTCTGTCAATTTTAACATCGCATCGGCTGAACGCGTGCCAATCCACTGCAGACACTGGCAGCTATGAATGAAGGCGAGAACAATTCACTTAGAAGTACATCAACAGTTTGTGAGCAAATGTCTGCAAGCTGCTGCAGAACATAGCCACTGGAAAAGTCTGTGATTGTGCTTTGCTGATTTAAATTTACTTTCTGCAGCATGTTGTTTTGAAGAGGGTTGCGACAGAGAGTACAGGTGCCACTTGGGGTGAGGTAGGTCCTCACATCGACCATGTAGGCTCCTTTTCGCTGCAGGCTGACCACATCGAAGCCCTCCCCCGCCAGGTCGTAGCCCGGCACGAAGGGAGCGGCTCCCAGTTCGACAGGAGCGAACAGGTGAGTGGTGTGACAGTAAGAGGAGGAGACTCAGGAAGGGAGAGAGTGCTGGTGAAAAGGAGAGCATGGCTGGGGTCAAAGAGATGCTGAAATATTTCTGACAGACAAGAGAAGATACAAAAAAAACAGAATCATTTCAGCTGTGGTGTACAGGTTCAAACACTAATTGTGATTTTCACTATTTGATCTTTTATCACAGTTGTATGATTAGTCAGTTCCCAGTTTAACCTCTTTGTATCTACTGTATTTTGTTTTATTTAAACCTTAGAACAGTAGTGGACTGATATGATCGGACTTTGTAAGGTAAAATTTTCTGAAACACCACAAATATTAAGTTAGTCGGGGAAAATATGTCACAAATATTCACAATTTTCAGTCACTGAGATCATTTTACCACTTAGGTTTACATGACCTCTTGTCTTCAAATTATTTGTTTTGTCCAAGCAACAGTTCAAAACCCAAATTTACAATGTTATAAAACAGAGAAAAGCAGTTTATATTAAAGCTGTCATTGATAAAAGAAGAAATAACACAATCTTCCTCTTACAAATGAAGTTGAATTCACAACAACATTTTACACTCACCTATTTTGCTGAAAACAAGCTATTTTTCTAATATTTCATTGTTTATAAATGGATTGGTTATTGTTCTTAAACGGTCCGCTCACCACAGTGAGATTGGATTTTCCACTTTTTACTGCTGGTGATTAAGGCCATAGTAGGTTAAAAAACAAAAGAAAAACATTACAAAACTTAGGGAGGGCGGGTAAAAAACTCTGACATTATGTTTTTCACGTTTCTCATGTGCATGTATTTTCTTTGTTGTAAAGCACTTTGAGCTGCATTTCTTGTATGAAAGGTGCTATACAAATAAATGTATTATTATTATTATTATTATTATTATTATTATTATTATTATCAGTGAATTACAGCTGCTTAACTGATTCATGACGGCAAACATGCCAAAAGAACCACAGGCAGAAAACAACTACATTTCCTTGATGGCTGTGAGCATATACGTTTTGAAGGTTCTTCAACTATATTTCAATGTTTCCATTCTACGCTACTTTATATTTCTACCTCACTACATTTCTGTAGGACCCGACGAACGCAGTCACTGATTCATTGATTTATTAAACAAAGAAAACAAAGGCTTACCAGACAGTGAGGAAGTCCAGGGTCAAGAACAGTGAAGGCAGTCTGAAACGAGAAAACAAACCCATTTAGGAGCAGGCAGAAATCAGAATAGGTGCAGAAGAGACAAACAACTAGGAATAGACAAAACACAAGCATGCAGTTAAAATAACATAATGTTCTGACATTAAAACAAGGTAATAAATGCACTGAAACTAACTGACAAACGAGACATAGATAGTTTAGCAATCTTCACCAGAGCCAGATGGGTTCGAATCGTAGTCACAAAGTCCTCTCAGTTCACTGTAAAAAGATAAAACTGAACTGTCTCAGTTGTACACTCATTTTTATATCTCTATTTTTATATCTCTCCTCCTTCTGTGGGGCGTAATCGTCACACCTCCTCAACCACGCTCAAACTAACTAACTCCCTCGATAGAGCGAGGGTCCCATTCTCTCCTCTCACCTCTAACTTAATCTCCCTATTATCACCTTCACCACCCCCCTGCTCCCTCCTCCTCCCACATGGCACCGTCTTGCCCTGAATGGATTTTTATCATGCGGGTACGATGGAGGATCTAAGGGCCATGGAGGAGGGTTTTGTCTCGGCGCCAACCATTCATCATTGTGGTTTCCTGCCTTCTGCTCTCTGCACTCACCGGTCTCCCTTCAGCGTTTTCATCGAATGTCTATATCGTGCTTTGCCTTCCCCCATTAATAATGCTAAGACTTTTTTCTTCTGTCGCTTGTCTCTCCTTGTGATGTTTAAGGTACCCTCTATATCTCTCCTGTCCTTACACCACCACTAGGTTAGAGTAATTAAATTCAACCTTTACACACACACACAAACATTTAACATTTTTTCCATAGACATGATATTACATTGAACTCATTCACATTAGTTTTAAATTCTTTAGAGAGGCCAGGTATTACCTTGGTCTGGGAGGATGCACACTGCACTCAGGTTCAACAAATGCATGCAGAATTCCAAAGGCTGTGCTTACCTTGTTTTGGGACCTCTGCTGATCTGGGCAGCAGCAGATCTGTCCAGACGTCAGGCACCTGAAACCTCTCCTGGCTGGCTCGCCAATTCAGTGTGCCGAGAAAAATCTTCACCAGGCCCAGTTGTTATCAGACTCTAAACATGATTCATTGTCACTAATAAACACAGGCGTTACCTTTTGACCATGCATCTGTTGCAATTTTACTTCCCACTTTTGCATTTTTTTCCATTTAATTTTCAGTTCCACCTATTTCTCATCTTCCCTCTTTTCAGTTACATCACATTGTCCTGGCTCCTTAGAATATTGCCTCGCCTAACCGAGTTTAAACCCTTTGGCTTGTTTACTCCACTTTAGATTCCCGCTTCTTCATTCCCGGATTTGTTTGTCTGTTTGGACTGCTTTCTCTGGTGTTGGCCCATGCCCGCCTCACCATGCCGTAAACCTTTGCTCCCATTTCTTCATAATAAATCACTCAACTAGACCTACATTAGTTCTGAGTCTGCCGTTTTCCATCCATTTGCAAATTGGTGAGTCTGAAGCCCCTTTTGTGCTCCTTGTGTATTGGCATATATTTGGCTCACAGCAGGAACCACTAGTTTCTCTAAAAGATAACTGACCTGCTATGTTTGTAAAACCGGTGAGTCTGCAGAACATTTTATTAGACATATATAAATTGTCTGAACGTGACGCAAGACTGATTGAAAGACTACGCCTTAACCTCAAATTAGATCTAAAAGGAATAGAAATCTTCTTGTGATTGAGTCAATAACTCCCTTTTATTCAGCCTGTTCAAGATGGGGATGTTGCACCATATTTTTTAGGTGTTGGTTTGTCCAGGAGCTTTGTCCTGATGATGCTGTCAGACGAAAAGTCATTACAGATTCTCCCGTGTGGTACAAAACTATCCTAATCTGTGCCAAAGTTCTGTTCACAGCAATTCACCTATTGGATGTTGAGAGATTTTTTTAAGTTATTTTTGAGGATTTGAGAGAAGTTTTCCTCGAAAAAATAAATCCTATATATCCTGAGTTTAACCACTTCCCCGTCTTCAGAAACTGTCCTATGTGGGGAAAAAAGTCAATGTGCAGGAATCGCTGCAAAATATGTTAAATCTTGTCATAATCTGAGAGAAACAAGCTCTGTATTACATTTGCAATTACATCTGTAAAAAATGTCTTATTATATTGTATTTAATATTATTGTATAATCATTAATCAATCATCTGTCTGTTTATAATTTTCTGTACTGCTTTGGCAATATAGGTTTCTGATGTATCATGCCAGTAAAGCTTATTTGAATTCGACTGGGGGGGAAAGTTGGGGGAGAGAGACGGGATGACAAGCAGCAAAGGGTCTGGGCTGGATTTGAATCAGGGCTCCTGCGGTAAGGACTGAGGCTAAATGGTAGGCGCTCTACCAGGTGACCCACCGGGACACCCCAGATGTTGAGAGATTTCATTCTGAACTGCACCTAAAACATCAAGCAGCTGATGGCACCGATGGAAAAGTCAGAGGATCACCAAAGCCATGATGATATGGGGCTGTGAACAGCAGTACAACATTTCACGTCATCATCCATCCATCATATGTAGAGGTAATATACTCTGGATCAGTGCCGTCACAGTAACGAGAGCCACACTGCTAAGATGTGAACAACATGGATCCTTAGAGGAAATGATATAAAGGAACTTCACTTGCATTTATTTCCTACATTTAGTGGAACAGGATGTCCACCTTTAGCCACCGTCAGAAGGACTATTTGCATTAAATAGCAGGTCATTATTCATGTCCATCACTTCATTTAGTCCTGAACAAATCTTCACGCACGCACGTTCTCTCACATTCACACACACAAAGATTTGTGGTGAAGTTCGATGTGTTCTCACAGAGAGGAACTAAGCAAAACTTACAAAAAAAAGACCTTTTCTTTATTGATGGAAGAGGAGCCCCGATGACACAACAGTGTTACAGTTCATCTGAACCTTGATGCTTTTAAAAGCTGCAGAGCTGATTGTTAAAACCTGGAAGTTTTCAGCGGTGCCATCTTTGCATATCCACGGAGGGGAAAACGTGCACTTCTCAAAGTGAATAATGAAAACAAATGATTCTATGTTTGTGAATGGGTGCAAAAAAAAAAAAAAAAAAAAAACTATATCAATGCTAAATGTTGAGAGCTCTCGTGTCTGCAATGGCCAGAACGGATCTTAAACATCTTAAAAATCTATTTTGCAAAACAGAAATACAGAGAGGAATCGCTTTGGCACACATACCGTCCACATGGAAAACATACAGTAAATGGTCCTTTTGAAGACATGCACATACAAAAACAAGCTTTTACAGACGCATTCTCAAACTTCACTCGTCATGTGAAACTGTTTCCACGAGGCAGTCACTTTAACAGAGTCACAGGCACTCATAAGTTTATATAATGGCATTGCCATAGTTAATAAAAGCTTGAGGGTCTTACAGGAATAATCTGCAGTTTTCCTTGATGTTCAGTGTAATGAAATTAATCGTACGTGTTTAATTGTGCTTGGAACAAAATGATCCCACTTAAAATGATGCGATTCAGCCCATAAGCTTTGTTTATTGGGTGGTGGGTGTTAAAATAAATCAGAGGACTGGTTGAGTTGGACTGACTGTGTGTGTGTGTGTGTGTGTGTGTGTGTGTGTGTGTGTGTGTGTGTGGAGGATAGTACAGCATGTGGCTTCTTCCTTTCAGCCAGTGCGTAGGATGATGTGGACCCCAGAGTCAGTAAAAACAGGACCGCTCATGTCTCCCACTTTAAGAGCAAATGAGGCATCTTCAAAAGGCTTCTGCATTTGACCTGAAACACGAACACAGATACTGAGTGTTAAAGCAATAACACACTTTTTCACATTAAAAGTAAAAATTCATAGAATGTGTTGTACGTTATCATCTGTAGCCTGTGTGTCCATAAATTCTTGTGTTTGCTTGAAATAAGCTTTTCAGTTGTGTGTGTGTTTTTTTTTTTTAACAGTTCATTTAATATAATTATTTCTTAATTTAAATTCATTAGGTTTCAGTTTTAGGTGTGGGTGTGTCATGGAGTTGGAATCTTTCCATCACAGCGCTGTGAAGTGAGAGCAACAGGTTGATTATGTAATAAGTAAACTGAATATATTTTACTTGGGTCAACTGACCCTTTAATTCCCAGCTAATTAAGTACACACCCTACAACAAATTGACATGAATATAGGTTTTTGTAATTTGTCTTCACATCTTAAAAACTTTCTGACTCCCTCCTTAGTCTGTGGCACTCAACCCCGGGCCCTTTTGTTCTTACTTCAGATGTTAATCTTTAAAAGCACAAACATATACTTCAATTTACATTTCTGCAAACTATATTCAAACATAAGTCATTTATTTACTTTTTGTTTGCATGTCAAGTATTTGTGGAGACTATTTTCAGTTGCGGATTAAGATACATTAAGTGCTCTAGTGGGTATCTACAGCAGCAGGATGGTGTATATGGGATTGACTAAAAAATAAACTTGTTTCTATCTTTACTGTCATGAAGGAACATGTCACCCCGTGAAACAGTGTGGCTCATTTAAAGAAAAAAACAAACAAAAAAAATGGATTAATGAGGGCATGACTCGGGGTGTGTATGTACAGTGGTGTATTATGTATATAGTATGTGTGTGTGTGTGTGTGTGCGTGCAGTATGTGTTGGGTGTATACCTCTGCCAAAGAGCCCCAGATCTCCACCGTTCTTAGCTGAGCTGCAGTCGCTAAACTGAGAAGCCAGATAATCAAACTTTTCTCCAGACTTGATCTGGTCTATGTACTCTGCACAGAGAAGAGAAATAAAGATCAAATGAAACATGCTGACTGACCAGATTGAATCACACACACACACACCCTTACACCTCTGCCTTACTTACTCTGAATTAGTTCCAGGGCCTCGTCTTTAGTTCTTGTGATATTTTGTTCCCGCCAGGAAGATGGACGACGTGACTGATTATGCTTCACCAGGAGGTGAGAGCAGCGTACCTGAGTGAGTGAAAAAAAAACCCCAAACAAATAACACAAACTGATCAGTATCAAAATACCCCGGAATCAATGATAGAACAGCAGAGATCAGGGAGTGGTCTATTGACTTCATCTTTGTTAGAATAGTCAGCATTACTTTCGAAATACAAAAACATAAACAAGGCAAAGTTAAAGCATGCTCAGTTGAGTTGACATTATTTTACCTAGTTTACCTCTGGGGATCGATATCAATAGGTATTCTGATCCCGATTGAAATGAATTATAAGTGGGTTTGAGGCAGGTGATCAAAAAGGCTATTAGCAAGCAGGATTCCCATACCCACAATGCAGCTGTCACAGATTATTTACATATTTACATCCATGAGAAAGTCAAAACCTATGTTCCTTCACATCAGCTGTCTTCTTGCAAAGGAGTCACGTCATTAGGAGAAACAAGGTTGTTAGCGGGTGTGGGAGAACAGATGTTTAAAACTTTGACAGTAGTTTTGGTCGCATGGTCGGCCAAAACACGTTTTGCCCACAGTGTACAAAAATGTGTAAACATGTAAACATTAAAAATCGTCTGCAGTCTATGTAAATTGTAATAGATACCTTAGGCAAGATGACAGGCCTTCATCAGTACATATAACGCAGCTACTTGAGCGGAGCTTGAGGAAGGCAGGGCGGCACTTTCAATAATTATCACAAATCAGCACAAATTACAGACCCTGCCTGTGGCACTCCATTGTCTCTAAGTCATCTGTGTAGAAAACAAGACTAGAGTTGGAGGGAGGAATTAATGAATGAATGAATGAATTTTTTTTCCCCTTGAGTTAAATTACGGAGTACTTGCTTTTAAAAATACTTAAGAATTCAAACGTACATTTTCCTTTATGTCAACACATTGTTGTATTGTTCCAGTGTATTTACAGAACCTAATGACTCTGATGCGGCTGACTGAACACATTGATTCACTGTACAATAAAAGCTTGTAGAATGTGCTACAAGGACTGTAGAAATGGCTATAAAACAACTGAATCAACAAAATAACAGCCACATTTGGAATTAGACAAACATTTGATACCTTGACATGCTTTCTAAAGTTGGACAGCAAATTTTTGTAGGTAGTGATGTATTTTTGGTCGTGTTAAACACTCAAAAGTTTAAAAGCTAAATGGAATTTAAATAAAATTAAGATTCCAAACATGGACTTCTTCTGCCTCATCTTTATCCGACACAGCCATCATCAGGACAGTGCCAGGTTCAAACTGAGCTGTTCAAACATGCAGCAACACAACATGACTGACAGTGTAGGAGTTGACTGTGACTGTTTGTTTGGTTTTTAACACTGTGTATAATCTATCACACTTCAGAAAACAAAAGAAAATTCATTCATTGACTAAAGGCTCTATTTCAAAGTAAGAGTCAAAGGTACACTATTTGTCTTTTAAGTGTAGTGGAGTCAAAGTCAGAAGTTTCCAAAACAATCATGCTCAAGTAAAGTACAGATACTGGAAAAATATTTTAAACCCACAGAACTTTATTTTATATTTTAGTACTGATCCCCAAGTTTTAGAGAAACTGGAAATTTGGACAAAATATTAAAAACCTCCTTGGTCTCAGAAAAGCATACACCAATACCTCATGTCAACAAAAATAAGTGACATATCAGCTATTTGAACAACACATTTATTTTATTATTTCATTATTCTATAGTCATAACTTGTTTTTTTACTATTTCATCCTATGATATTGTACAAAAATATGCACATGTACAGCAGCACTTCTAGACAAGAATATTACATTAAAATAAACAAAACACAAAGCTTTCTTAAACCTTTTATAACAAACATGTGACTTAATCCACAATATGAAATCATTGGGGTGTTGTACTATAGTGCTTCACACCGTCTTAAAGGGCTGCTACAATTTATGAAACCAACAGGTGTCACTTTTCTTGCCGAGTTCAATACTCTGAAGCTCTCAAATGCAAAACCCCCTCACAAGTTTTAATCATCACATCACTAAACTAGTTCAGTCTGATTTTATCTAGTGAAGCACTTAATCACTCTTATTTTGAAAAATGGTACGGTAAAAGTTTATTGTAATCATTATAATAAACACATCTAATAATTGCACATAATAACCTTATCTGGTTCTCCACGGCCATCTCCCACCGGACGTTCCCACTGACTGGCATTGGTGATGTGGTTGAAGTAGTACACCTTGCCTGGAGGGGCAAAGAGAGGGATGAATTGAATCCTTGTGAATCCGCACATAAAAATTATTATGATAAGTTCTATGCAGTGAGATGTACAGGGTTTAATTGTGGGGGGAAAAGACAGAGCTGGCATTGCATTGAGCCTGAAGTGAGATATTGGAATCAAGAGAGGAAAATCTGGCTTGGTGCCTCCCTAAATGTGTTTGCAAACTATTCATATTTTACACATCTTGCAGACATTCAGCAGAAGTCCATATGAAGTCCAAACTAGAATAGTATATAGAATATAGAATATAAAATATACGTCTTTATTGTCCAACAGGGTGGAAATTTGTCTTTGACTCACCAAACACAAGGAACAACAGAAAAAACAAACAAGCAGTTAGTAAAACAGACACACAGACAAGGTCACATTACACATTAAAAACAGTTCATGTCAATGTCAACTTTGTAGACTTAAGAATACTGATGGAAGCATTTCATAAACACAATTTTAGTTGCCAGGAACTCTATAGCGCCTCCCAGAGTTCAAAGTCTCAAAGATAGTGAAAAAAACGTCAAATATTCTATAATTTCAACCCCTAAAATGTGAGGATTTGGTGCTTTTTCAGTCTCATGATTAAACATTTTGAAAGTGTGAATTTATCTCTAATAGCAACCAATAGCGTCTACTAATTGACTTTGTATGCAATCAAACTGCCTTTAAAATTCCCTCCGCAATCTTTCCAGACACATCTTGAGACTGTAGACGGGTATTCACGATGCAGTGAGGTGTGTCAGAAGTTTATTTTCTATCTATTCTGGAATAAAAACCGCTTATTTCTGTGACTTAGTTGCAACAATCACTAACCCTAAAAAAAAGATGATGAAAAGGGAAACTTTTTTTCACCATTTTAAAAATGAATCGGCAGATTGTGAGTTGCAGCCCTGATTGGAGGAAAAGGCTCATTTTAAGTGTCTGTTTGCTACACGGGTTGTATTTACTTCTTGTCTCTTTGGAAAACAAAATCTGCAGAATATGTCACTTGTTCAGAGTTGCCCACACAGGTGCTCATGCAATTGTAAATGCGCTCCTCTCAGGCTGCAGGTAAGGCACAGATGCATAATGACGTCATACAGGGCCTTGCAGGTTGAATGGATCAGTTACACGCATAATAACAGCCAAAACCCACATTTAAGAAGACACGCCTGCAACACCGAAATACCCAAGTTTAATTTCAGCCTGTCCTAATTAAACCTAAATATCTTTTCCGCCTGGTTTCACCAGTAAACATCGATGCTGAGGCTGCTAGCTACTAAGCTAACTTTACTATATATGTCATTTAGCAAGCAGGCTAGCTCTTAAGCCCCTCCTGACTTCTGTTTCATTACCTGAACTGCGGCTCATTCTTTTCTCCCATCCGGATGGTAGATTCTCCTCGTCTGACATTATTATTGTTGTTCTTCCTGCACAAGCGTTTATTTAAAATTAATTTCAACGTGACTACCGTGTGCCAGGCCGGGCTGCAGCTAGGGAAGTTACAACACTAAGTAACGTGTTTACGATACGAATTGTTTTCAGACGCAGGCCCGCCTTTGACGGGTTTCTCTGTATTGTCATAGGCTGATACGGGCTGTCAATCATAGGTGTACCCGTTTGATTGGTCAAGAGGCTAACACTCTAACTATATCAGCTTTACGGCAAGCGGGGCAGAGAGCGTTCCAGAAAATACCAGTGACTGGAGATTATTTGTTACTTTGTTCGTTTTAAGGTAGGAATGTCACATTTAACAGACTGTAATTATAGATATAAACCAGTTCTCGATATTTTCGGGGAAAATGGTGGCTTTACTTTTGTGCTTTGTAACATTAAGCACATGTATCTGTACAATATGCGACGATGTTAGCTAACGTTAGCTAAACTAAACAACCAGATTCTACAGCCTACATTTCTTCAATGTGGCTCAGTGTAAATAAACCAAATTAACTATAATTTCTAACTATGTGTAAGAGTATACAATCGGTTGGCAGTTTATTAAGTACACTTAGTTAACACTAATGCAAGCCTTATACAACGGATGTGCAATAAATCCTCCTTTCATGAAGGTTTCAATGTTCAGTTTTTGTCGAAACTGTTCCAAAGTGATGTTGATTTATCCGCATGATTATTTTTGGAGAATGTTGTCTGTGGTGCTGTTGAACTGTTTTGCGTTATGCTAACTGGTGTTGCTATTATTTTGTCCACCACATTCAAATCAATGAGACCTCATTGTGTAGCGCAATGCAGTTCAACAACACCACAAATTTCAGCCCCTAAAATGATCTTAAAGTTGAATCAACACCTAATAGTAAAATAGTTCAACTGAACATTGAAACCTTCATGGGGGTAGGATTTATTGTTGTATTAGACTGCATTAGTTTTAGCTGGGTGTTCCAAATAAACTACAAACTGAGTGTATCTTCAGCTCACATGCTATGCTAACTCTCTCATTTCCTTCGGCAGACAGGAACTGAAGATGATCGAGGTGGTCTGCAATGATCGTCTGGGCAAGAAAGTCCGGGTCAAGTGCAAGTATCCTTCACTAAAACTGCCCTAGATAATGTTGAATAATGTACATGTGTAAAACCTGGGTCCATATAGACATGTTGGCGCCCTGGACGTCCATAGGCACCCCAGAGGGGACTTTATGACAATTATGTTAATGTTGTCTTCTTTTTCAAAATAAGAGCACACTGTTATATTGTTGAATTCATCCTTCATAAACAAATCGTCTCTCCAATTACAAAAGCTAGACGAGAAGTTTTTTTTCCATGCTATCATTGTGCTGCTTCTTTAACCCCCATGTTTCAGCTCAGAGGATACCATTGGAGATCTGAAGAAGCTCATTGCTGCCCAGACAGGAACACGGTACGACAAGATTGTATTAAAGAAATGGTAAGCTCTCATCTGATCTGCCCTGCATGACCAGAACAAATGTCTCTGTGGCTGTTTTCTATGAGCAGCTGATGTTCCTCCTCTGTTCCCACAGGTATACCATATTCAAGGATCACGTGTCTTTGGGTGACTGTATCCTTTCAACAATCTTTTCTGCCACTCTGCCAGTGTCAGCAGCTCAGTACTGATACTGTAGAGACAGTTTCTATATTTCTGTAGAGGTCTACTTACTTTTCACACTTTAAAAGTAAGAATCAGATAATCTTATGTACCAGAAGTCAATAAATTGTGTAAACTGAGAATGGGGGTGGGTGGAGTGGTGGCATACACATTGGATATTTTAGAACAAGTAATTCAATTTTGTATCACTGAGGAAAATTTTGCATCATGTATCCCTTACCGGACCACAACACTTTATATTCAGGTTTATTTAATCAGGCAGGAATTGGGTCTTGTATTTTTACACGCCTCAGTAAGCACCCTCTTTTCCTAAATGTTTTATTCACTATGACTATTTGTTTCTTGGATTATGACTAAGACTGTTATTTTTTTTCTCTTGTGAATACAGCATTTTTCTGATGCCTTTTTAATATATAAAGGGTAGTAAACTTGTACCAACAAGAGTGAACAATTATTCTGTTCTGAACCGTTGCACTTAACCACAACCTCTGCAGATGAAATCCATGATGGGATGAACCTTGAGCTGTACTACCAGTAGACCTGAGAGGGACCACAGGACGATGCTACGCAGACGCACGCACACACGCACGCACACACTCACACACAGATGGAATTGATGGAATCTGTCACAGGAAACAACCTGAAAGAGAGAAGGAGCTGTATCTACAAAGCAGAAAACACACACACAGTACATAGATTACAGTTTTAACTTTTAGTTTTTGCCGACAAATTATTATGTGAAAGACGTTGTTCTATGAATATTTTTGTTTTGATATTTTGGAAGTAAAGCTGATATTTACCTACCTACAAGACTGAGTGCTGATCTTTGTTGTCCATTAGTTGTCTTTTCTCATGTGGGAAGAGACTGAAATACCTCCTCGTATGTGTAACACTTCTCCCAATCAATGTTAAATATTCCAATGTTATGTTCACTTCACTTGAAAGAATAACTTAAATAAGTAAATACTTAATTCATACTTTACTGCATACAAAGGCCATTACACTATTGCACTGGTACAGTATGTGTTAAATTTCAAGTCTACTTTGTTACCACACTACATGCATCTAACAGTTGAGGTCACTTTACTTACATTATTTTCTTCATGCAAAAGATGTTATCAATTTATAAAAGACAAACTACCCAGCAGCATATGAAGCTCTTAAAAAGTTGCACATCCTACAAATATGTTAATGCATCAGTAATAATAATTCAAGCCAATATATAGGATAATGTTAAAGGTTTTTTATTTAAGTTACATTTTTAATTCACAACTTCCAGTGTATTTTTACACAGTGGTTTTGATACTTTTACTTGAGTAAAAGCTGTAAATATTCTTCCACCACTGTTTGGTCAGGTGCCATTTTTTCATAGCTTGAACCAGACCTCTTAGTTCCAGTTAAGATCAATCTTAATGCAACAGCATACAGTGATATTCTATACAACTGTGCACTTCCAGCCTTGTGGCGACAGTGTGCGAAAAACTGTTCTGGTCTAAACATCACAATGCCCCAGCTTTCATGTCAAGCTAAGCTAAGCATTACAGTGCCATCACGCACAAGGAAGCCAGATCAATAAGGAAATGCTTTTTTTTCCAGTTTACTGTGGAAGAACTTGCAGCCAGCACAGAGCCTTGACTTCAACCCCATCTAACACCTTAGGGATGAACTGGAGCCAGACCTTAATCACCCAACATCAGTGATCAACCTCATCAAAGCGTTCGTGGCTGAATGGGAGCAAATCCCTGCAGCCAGGTACCTTAACCTTCCCAGAAGAGTGCAGGCTCTTACTGCAGCAGATTGATACACACGGTTTTGGACGTACAGTTTGAGTGTATGCTTCAAGTTAGTTGTACATATGTGAACCAGACATCATCATGTCAGCTGAAAAAAAGTTTTATTCACATCACTAGACACTCACAAGTAACAGCAGCTCTCTCACACACTCACACACACACACACACACAGACACACTCCTGCATATGGGTTAATGCAATTGATGGAAACCAGATATCACACAGTCTCCTACGCATACAGTTTGGGTCCTGACATCTCCTCTGAACCTCCGTCAGCAGTAGTCAGAGTAGTCCTCCTCCACATAGTTGGCTGGGAAGAACCCCACCTGGAAACACAGGAGCAATGCAGGTAAGATACAATTGTCTTAAAAGCGGTGACAATTTTTTTTTTTTTTTTTTTTAATGTGTGGATGTTGTAAATTCCTCACCCGGCCGTACACTTCTCCTTTCCACCAACCACTGTGACCTTTCTTGGAGAGGATCTTGATGGTGTCTCCCTCCCGCAGCGACAGCTCAGAGCGGTCCCTGGCCGAGAAGTCGTACCTGGCCCTCGCTACGCCGAAACTCCTCATGCTGCCCCCTGTGAGACAGAGCCCATGTTGGATCATGGATAAGCTCAAAAGAGTAGTTTGACATTCTGGTAATTTTTTGTTTTCCTGCTAAGAGTTAATTTAGAATATTCATCTGTGCGTTAAATATCAAGCTACACCCAGGAGACAGTTAGCTTAGCATAAAGCCTGCACTTTTCCTCTAGCGCCACCATGAGGTTAACATACATAGTTAATTATCTCAACACGTGTTTGATGGACTGCGATGAAATTTGGTGCAGGCATTGATGGTCTCCTCAGGATGAATTGTAATAACTTTGATCTATTGCCCTTCTATCTAGCTCCACCATTAGGTCAACATTTCCCAAAACGCAGAACTGTTCCTTTAAGATGGTGGTAATGACGGGTGTGTGACGCCAGAGAGATGCACTGTACCTGGTGTGGTGTTTGGCGTGTTGTTAGACGAGTTGCTTTGCTCTGGTTGTTTGTAAGGCGTCCGCAGCGTGGTGTCCACATCCTTGAAATACTCCTTCAGGGAGTTCTGCTGGTAGAACTGAATCATTTCCTAACACAGGGTGAAGAACAGTGACAGGAGGAGAATGACAGCGTGAGAAACGAGTGAGAAATCCACAATGTAAAAGACTGTTTCAATGTGTGTGTCAGAGTGGGTCGCATAAGGTTATAGCCGGATGAGGGTGTTGAACTCACAATTAAACCCTTGAATGCTTTCTTATCATTGATGCGGTACAGGCCTTCAGTGGACGTGATCTTAATGTGTCTGATGTCCATGTTGAACCTGGGAGAGCGCAGAGAGGGGAAAGAGAGATGCTCATGTGACAAATGCTTTCAGACAAATAACATTAAAGGGAAAGTTCACACAAAACTCAAAGAAATTGAAAGGGTGAATGTTTAGTGTTTAGTTTCACAGCTGAATTGTGAACCTGTTCCTCAAAAAAAAAAAAGAAAAGGAAAATCGATTTTTCCACTTCTGCAATTTATGGGTTTTATATGACATGGCTGGATGAAACATGTACTATTAGTTAAATTTCCCTGGTTTTGAGAGGAAGTGAAACTTACCTACGTAAGCAAAGCTAAGACCATTATATTCAGCATAGGAGTTGTAGATCAAAAGACATCTAGGCGAAAAGGTATTTAGACGTCTGCTTTATATAAATATATTGTAATATTATCTTTTAATCAATTCATTTGTTGGTCTATAAAATTATGAAAAATGCCCAACACATGTTCACAGAGCCAATGGGGATGTCATCAAATTGCTTTGCCTCCCCAGCTGTCGAAAACCCAAAGACCTTTTATCAAAAGACTTTTCTGTCAATCAACTAATCGATCAATCATAGTTACATACAGCCTTTGCTTTGACGACATTTCAGTTACCTGCTTTAAAAGAAATCATAAAAATCATTGTTGTTATTTCTAAATAACAATTGCCCAGTTTTAGTCGATCCACATCTTTCACCTAAAAGAAACTAATACTTTGTCCAGTACAGTTCTCCTAAAATCAAACAGTGCTTTTATTGATGAATTGATGGAGGCTTACTTGATGCTGATGGCAAACTCTCCTCCATCTTTCTGCCGCACGAGGAAGGTTCCATCAGACCGGGACATTAGCAGGTTTTTGGCAGCTGTTCTGTCCATGTTCCCAGCAAACCTTGAATCACAGTGAGAATTGAAACCTTGTTCTTTGCTTTGAGTAACTAAGTACATTTTGAAAGAGGATATAACACAATCTTCAATGTACAAAAGGAAAATTGAATTAATCAGAAATAACACTCAACCTTTCCCTGACTTTATGATCTCTGTACTAAAGTTGTGGTATCACTTTACTTTAAGTGCTCCGATTTAGTATTTATAAGCAGTATGCAAATAATTGGTTTATAACACACTATAATGTAGTTGCACAGACTCAAGTATAAGAACATTTTTAAGTGTTTTATTAACTCACAGTATTTATTAGCAATTACAACCTCTCCTATGAAGAGATAGTTTACTTGATTGTCTTGATTATCTGTTTATGCACCAGCCTCAAGAGCAAATAAAATACATTAACAAGCTCTTATATCTGCTTGCAACTTCATTATAGTGCGTTATAAACCATTTATTTAGGGTGTAAACACTTTATGGGACTTCTGCCACATCTTTCAAATTATTATGATGACACAGGTTAGTTTGTAAAAAAAAAAAAAAAAAAAACCTACACATTATCTGGATGAAAATTGGTGCAGTCACTACTTCTCACCACCAGGTGGTGCCGAAGTAAAACATTTTGAAATACTTCACACAACTGCACTGTTTTCACAAGCCGTTTTTACATTGTTATCTGCAGCAGTTTGAGTCGGCTGGAGTCATTCCATCATTGTTATTGTCACACCCTGGGGCAGAAAACACTGACTATACGACAAACTATGACTTATATGAATAATAACAAAAGGTTATTTTACACATGGAAAACAATGGTTTGCAGTTCTAGATTCCATTAGTGGCACAATGACACAGTACACAGTTACAAAGGCTGGTTTAAAAGCACCAGTGCTTTTCAGTGTCTGGTTCTGTTTTTGTGGCTGTTGGTGTCAGCGCTGTGGTGTTTCTCTATCAGTGTTGCAAGTGATTTAAACCAGTTGATACTCACCAGTTGAAAGACGACAAGTCAGGGGTCGGCCTCTGCGAAAAGGTGAGATCACACATACACACAGTTTAGACCTTTGCAGAGGTCTGTGGTCATTAGCAGTAGCTGTACCTCTCTTCCTAAGACTACTACTACTTCAGTACAGCAAATGGTAGACAGTTGGCACAAGCTGACAAATACCACTGGACTAAAGTGAACATGTTTGTATGCATGTTTGTTTTCTTATGCTCAGATCTCTCTTGGCAAAAAAAGGAAATGTTATTTGTCAAAATGCATTTTCTACATCATATAAATTTGTAATTTCAGTGAGGATGTTTGCTGCTCAGCGGCTCATGTTGGCTGCTTCGTCGTACTCACAGCGACGTAGGGCTGAACTTTTTGGCAGGGGAACCATCCCATTTGACCAGCAGTCAGGTTCCTCCCCTGAGTGGCACACACAACAACAAATCACACAGCCGGACTGGGTGGACCAAGCAGAAGTCATTGCAACATATGAATGAATCAGCACATCAATATAGATAAGTAACTTGAGAACAAACTGCACCCTGAAACAAATTACTCAGATGCAGTTTTGCACTTTTGATCTGAGACAATTCACATGAAATCTGAAAAATAGTTTGTTTGAGAGTAAACGCTTAAGTAAATATTGTGGCTCCACCAGGCTCTTGTCAACAGGATGACAGATTTCAACCCTTCTGCCACAAAGACTTCACATTACTTACATTTTCCCAGAACACACCTTAGAAGATAATGGGTAAATAAATAAATCTATTTGTGTTCTTTCATTTCAGGACCATTTAAAATTAACTTGCACAGAAACTTAATTTAGGTTTCTGATCATCACAGTGAAAAATTAAGAAATAAAAGGGCTTTTATTGTCAAAGTTAGACTGCTTGAAAAGTAGTTAAAAAAAACAAATCATACAACCTACAAAGTAAATGCCATTTGATTAAGCTCATTTATACAGCAAACATTTTTACTTGTCATAATAGGAAAAGCACAGGTGTTAGTAACAACATTAAAGATGGCTCTGGACTATTCAAGTGTCCCAGTGAGCAATAACAGTGTGACAGTGAGCCAGTGTGAACAACCCCAGGACCCGACACTGAAGCAGCTAAAGTGAATTCAGCTAGTAGGTTCTGATTTTTTTTTCCAAATTAAAACTTTTCAAATGAATCACACAGTAAAAAGAAGACAGAAAGAGAAATGCGGGTTGGGCACGAGGGAGGAAGCGGAAGCAAGAGACGAGATGCAGAGAGGAAAATGACAAAAGAGACTGAAAGAGACAAAAGCATCTCACACCTACACAGGAACCACAGGAAACAAGGCTTGAAAACATAACACAAAATAACGTGTGATCCCCTCAGTTTTCAGAATGAAGAATTGTGTTTGTTTGAATTTGTTTCTGTTAACGTTACCTCCCACCATGGCAGCTCAGCATCAGCGCGGGTCAGCTCAATGATGTCACCTTTGGAGAGGTGAAGCGGTTGGCCAAAGCCCACAGGAGGCGGAGGCAAGGCATAGTACTCCTGACATACCTCCATCTTAGGAAATCCTGAGAGAGAGAACGAGGGGGAGGAAGAGGAGATGTTGAGGCGGTAGGGATGTTGAGATGTCAGAGACTTGACAGGCAATGAAGGCACTTAAATTGCATCGGATATTTATTTACTCTTCTTCTGGAGAACCACACTGGAAGGTTTTGAAGTTTGTTTTTTTTAAAAAGATTTTTCAAAGTAAAAGATGCGCTGCCTAAATGATTATATCATGAATTTCTTACCAACGCTGGAATGTCCGGAGGACCTCTGTGTTTTATTCTGAGGGAACAAAAGATGAAAGTTTGATGTAATTGCACAAGGTCAATTAAAAAAAGGTTCATATAAAATAGTGTAAAATGATTCATCACCTCTACAAGAATAAAAACATGAAACATATTCACAATGTCAGAGATGAATATAGTCTTACCTTCTTCGTAGTGCCAGCATGGTCTGTAATTTTAAGAGGACAATCAATGGAAGAAGTGATAATTATGCTAAATCATGATAATCACCGCTGATTAGAAGTAGTGTACACACCTGAGTTTCGTCCGCAGGCAGGGACTCTGCCTAAACACTCTTTATGTGCAGCCATTTTACAGCGGGTGCAGCGGTAGCCCTGGAAAAATATCCCTCTGAGGACGACAGATGGAGAGATTCAGCCACAGCAGACAAGTCTTTGCTGTTTTTTCTTTTAAAATTGGAGCTGCGGGAGGAGCTGAGAGAAACAGCTAGTGAGACAAAAGTACCTTAACAGCATCGAGCAGGCCTTGCAGGAGGTGGTTTCCTCAAAGCAGTACATCTGGAAGTCATGGTTGTTGGCTGTGGCGTTCTCTGGACACATATTTGACCTGCAACCATAAAGCACAGCTGTTATGACCAAAGCCGGGGGAACCAAGCAATCACAGAGCTGGTTTTCACTTTAATACTTACACATAAATGGCAAAAGTAACAAATTTATTGCAGCTTCTTATGTTGGACACTCACGAGACTGAAGACACCAACAGTTGCAGCGACACAGTGCAGAGCAGATTGCATAATCCGATAAACATAATCGCCAAATTGTCTGTTCATTTCCTACAGGGTTGAGCAATCAGCTAATTTGCATCACAGAACCATAAATGACAACTGGCTAAAGCTAAACTTCTTCACTTCTTAACTTTGTCTTCTGATGTTTTACATTATGTAATTTTCATCATTAGAAATAATTAAATATTTGATTACAAAAAATAAGAAGATGATTAACTTAAACCCGCAATAACAGATGTTATTTGGCCACTTAGTCACACTGACACTTTTTAAGTTGGTATGTGAACGTAGCAAACCATTGATTATTTACACATCAAGCAGAAACGGAGCAACTTTACCATTAATTTGCAGTTGTGAACAACTCCCAAGGGAAATATCTGAACATGGTGGAGCAGTTAGCTGCTAAGTGTTCACCACTGTTCAACAGCTAGCTGCTAGTTTCACATGTCTGCTGTTTGATGATGTGCAGATAATATACGATGGATATGTTAGAGCTTTTTTTTGTCTGCTGTGACCAGAAATGACACAATGAGAGCAGTGAGAGTGCCAGAGAAAACAAAAAAACAAAATAACAAAAAAAAAAAAAAGAAAGCTGAGAAATGCTTTAAAGCCTCAAGTTGGTTGGGGAAGTGCTGAGTCAGGTGATAGTCATCTGTGGTTTGTAACCACAGGTGACCCCTTTCACATTACACATAGTCATCCATCCATCCAACCATTAGCTATACCGCTTACCCTTATAGGATAAGCATATTCATATAAAACATATTCATTATTGCAGCTTTATGGACTTTTCAACTTTTATGCAGGAATACTGCAGGAATAGGAGAAAGACTGCACCCAACATCCAGTGCTGTGTAAACATTATCAGGCTTCATGAAAGCCAATAATTAATCAGAAAAGGGTTCATTTACAGCCTGGTCACAATTTTCTACTGTGTGTGTGTGTGTGTGTGTGTGTGTGTGTGTGTGTGTGTGTGTGTGTGTGTGTGTATTTCCATGTGTATACTGTATGTGCATGGGTGTGTGTGGTAACTCACATAGCCATCTCAAACTGCTCCAGCCATTTCTTCTTCAGTTCTCTGGTTTTGAAGAATAGATCGTAACCACACCTCCCGTAAACGTCCAGCAGGAGGAACAGGTAGGACCACTGCTCACACACACACACACACACACACACACACACAGTCAGTCTATGCACTAACATGGTATATCGCTATCTGGTATAACTGGTGCTACAGATTGAAGGAAGCAGAGGACCTTTTTATTGTCCTTCTCTCCTGCGGTTTCGTCTCGTATCTGGTAGTGCTGTAGTTCAATGATGTCCTTCAACTCAAAAGTCTCTCCACCCTTCTTCTTACATACAAACATGGCTTTATCAAACAGGAATGCATATCTGACAAACAGCAAAACACACACAGATACCACAAAAGGTCAGATACTTGATGTTGACACGTGAAAAATACACAGAGACATATAAACAACACATACCGGTCCTGTTTCGACTTTTTCTCCGAGCTGCAGATCTTCAGCTCTCCGTCAATCTTGGGGCGACCAAAGAGAGCAAGAGACTGAGTCTAGAGAGATCAGAGGAGAGGAGAATAGATAACCAAAATAATTAACTGTCAAAAAGAAATATGTTTAAGTGGAAACTGTGCCCCCCCACCATGTTTTCTATGGACAGCTGGAAGGTGGTGATCTGTCTGATGATCTCATTGTCTCGCTTCACCTCGTTCACACACTGTGCCAAGTCCTGGACACACACACACACACACACACACACACACACACACACACACACACACACACAAACACACACAAAGAAAAATAGTTGAATGTTGAAATATTATAAATGAAAGTCAGTCAGTGAAATTCACATAAACACAAATACACACACTTACTCTCATGGCATCAAGAGCTGTGCGTAGGTTTTCCTTGTCTGTCGGGTCAGTGGTGTGCTTCACCAGCTCCTGCACACACAAACACACCACATCAAATTATAGCTGCTGGGTAAAACCAGCTGAGGAAAGAAAGGAAGAAGATGTAATGTAATGCAAGCATGCACGTACATACACACACACACACACACATACCTGTAACAGCAGGTGATATTTGAGGACCCTCTGCATAGGGACCATGAGTAAATCTCTGAGAGAAAAACGTCCACTGTTGGCTCTCTTTGAACACTCCTGAGTGAAAAGGAGAAGGAAGTGAACATCTGCAGTTAACCACATTCATGTTATGAGGGTGTTGCCAGTTTCCCCTTGAGGGCGAATGCGGTACTGAAACAAAAGTGAGAAACTTTTCATTGTTAAAACCAGCAACAATATACTTTCACGTAAGGGGGAGAAATACATGATTTATGAGGTGACTGCATTATTAATAGGCTTCTGATTAATTTGATGGATGGATGGGTTTCTTTTTTTTTTTACTATAATCTCTGTTATTTACTTAATCACATGCATATTTAGACATTAGAGTTTTTAATGGTGCACATGCACACGACACAAAGACAAATATTGCAGCACTAAGAGGCTGATGGTTTGTGGATTGATCAGCCCACCCCCCTACACTGTGGTCCAGAAAGTATTTCTGCTGCAGACCATCATTACAAAAGCCACATCTGTAAAACTGTTCATAGGTTTAGTACTCTTTGTATTACACATCTTTACGCCATTGAGTTTTCATATTGGTCATAACTACTCAAAGCATACTCTTTGTGCATGATATCATTAAAATAGTCAGTCAAAGGTAAAGTTTAGTGTGGAAGCATAAGAGTATTTGTTAATTAGCATTAAACACACATCACAGCACAGGCTGATAGGAGGGTCATTAGTCTTTCCAAGTTTTTGGTCATTGAAGTATCAGACAAATTCTTATTTTGACCTGATGATGGCACCAGATGGAAGACTCATTCATTCCAGTGAAAGTTGCTCACACAGCACATACGCCACTTAAAGTTTTCTCTCTTCCCGGTTTGTTTTGGGATCGTGTTGCCCATGACTCAACACTGCATCTTTCTCAAAAGCTGCTGACTCAGCCCATAAGCACACCCATAAAAGTAGCTTTTTCTCGGCTCCGGGAAAGTTTTACAAATATTAAATCTTTATGGTTTTAAAATGTCTGAAGAAAAAAGTGTAATAAATGGCCGATTGTGCCATTCAAGCTGATTTATCAAGGAATTATTTGTTGTAGTACAAAAAATAAGTCTGACTCTGCCACACTGCATCCACTTCATACATACGTCAAACTAGAAATAACAAAATGCAGCTTAAAGCTACTGAAACATTACAGTAATCAAAAGCAAGTACACAATCCCTCTCTGGCTTCCCACCACCAAGCACTGCCGCACACTGCTGTGTTCAATAGGGCCGAGCTACTCTGGGCTCCAGTGACTCGACCTTTAGTTCGCCTTAAACTATACAAAACATTTCTGTCTCCTCATCAAGAAATACTGTACACGTCTCAGCGTTAACATCACACATCGCCTGTGCTTCACACGCGCCAGTGTGACAGTCTCCCTCACCTCCAGTTTCATCCTGATATCCTCCCTCATATTCGAAAGCTTGTCGAGATGTTTCGTCGCTGTTTCCACCTGACTACAGTAGCGACCGTACAGTAAGAGCCTGAGGGGGTTAGGGATATAAAGACATATTATTATATACATGTATCTCCTCTGTTACTGTATAACAGATAGGATATATATATGTGTGTGTGTGTGTGTGTGTGTGTGTGTGTGTGTCTGTGTGTGTGTGTGTGTGTGCGTGTGTGTTGTGTACCTCTCCTTGTAGCTCAGAAACACCTGGTGGAGATTCTTTGCTCCATAACTCAGGATGGAGCTCCGGACCTCCTCCAACAAACTACGATGGGTGTTAGCCAAATCCTGCAGACACACATACACAGAGAACATGTAAACAAGGCTAATAGGTGAAGTTAAACCTGTCCACATGACCGGCTGTATGGATAATCTCCCTCTGTACCTCTATGTTGATGAAGATACTCTCGATGTCTTGATCCTTGAGGAACCGTTCAAGAGGTTTCATAAAGTGCTGCTCAAAAGAGAAGGGTTGTTTGTTAATTTGTCTTTAAATGTACACATGAAAGTCCATCTGCAGGCGTGTCTGTGTGTGATCTGCATGGAGGCGTGGTTTTTTCTTTGGTCAGACCGAAGCTGTGTGCACACCTGTAATATAGATTCCAGTGTATCGGAGTATTTCTCTTCTGTCTGTCTGATCTCCTGCAGGCAGCACTCTCGTTTGTCTACGCCGGTCTTCTGTTGCTGCATGAACACACACAAGATTCATTTATTTACATCATTACAGACACAGTTTGCAGCAGCCGAACACTGATGACAGGCCTTTCAGAACAATCTTTGTCTCTTCGACCATCAGCTTTTTTTTTTTCTCTCACCATATTGGTTGTTACATTTCTGCCATGATTCGTCAGCATTTTCTGCTTCTTCTGATTATGTCATGAAAATACTTTCTGCTGCTTAGGTTGCATTTTCACTTAGTGGAACTAGCCATCCAGTTGATGCATAAATATTTGACAAGAAAGAAATGATAAAATGCTGCAGCAATACTAAATAAATATTGAGGCTTTTCAATTTCAGTGGAATATTCTCAATAATTAAGGGCATAGTAGTGTGTGTGTGCCTATGAATTATGTAGCTGGGTGACATTTATACATAATGCTGTTCCTGGATGGGGCTGCTATCTGCGGGTGGAGGCACATTGCAACAATATCTGCACAGCTCCGGGTGGTTTCCAATCTGGGGCTCATAACACCCACAGAGGGTCGCAACGTAGATCTAAGAGATCGCAGGATGATTATAGGGACGCAGAAAGATACTGTATGCTGCTACTGTACAAAATTATGTTTATTTTGTCCTTAATCAGGGCTGTGAAAATTATTCAAATAAGACAAGAAAAAGGATTATTAGACATGTTTTTAGTGGAGGCTGAGTATCCAACCTCAAAACTCTGAACTCTGACCAAAATATTTTCGTAGTGCTGGGTAAGAACTGAAAGCTGGCACTTAATGTCTTAATTTATTCTTAAATCAAGATTTTGCTAATTTGAGACTCCATTTCATATTGACAAATTAGTCACAATTTAAAGATGAAAAGAAGTTTGGCTCCTTTTGTTAAATAAAAAAAAGTTTTTTTGTAGAAAAAGATAATAAGATTTTATTCATAGTTCCCAAGGTAAGGCGGTGTAAACAGTAGACACTGGTATCAAACATTCTCAAATGATTCCTAACCTACAATAAACAGAAATTATTTTGTTTTTAGGTGCTCGAGACAAAAAGGTGAGAAACAACTGGTTTACAGGACCGAACACAAACAGGACAGGATTTTATACACCTGTGTAACAACCATCTGGACTGTAGTGCACTGTACATGTCAATGACAGACCGTCACAGCCTGAACCTGCTGTTTGGTTTGAGGTGATGATTTTTTGCATGTGAACCACTCACAGCTTCAGGTTGTTCATCCGTCCTCATCAAGTCCTCATAAATCTCATCCCCTTCGTTCTCCTCATCCTCCACAAAGTCGTACAAATCGTCATCCTCATCGACTGTGTCACTGATACACATAACACACACACACACACACGTCTTGATTAATATCCCTATAGGGAAGCGCAAATGTACTGTACAAATATTGACTGAGAAAAAATGCATATGATTAATCAGGAAATCTTTTAAATAACTTTTTGTGTTGGAATTTGTACAACAAAATGTATTTGGATATTTTTCGCTTGCAGTTGGTATGTGCTGTACTCAGTATGTGTCTGCATGTATTGATTTATGTTCTTGCTACCCCTCCTGCACTGGAATCGGACAGTCTGTATTTGAGAAGATGAATCTTTGGTGTAACTATGTACAGCAGCAGACCAAAACAATAAAAAATAAATAAAACAAAACTACAAAAAAAGACAGCTTTTTTTGGGACTACATCTCTTCTTCCTCAAGTTATCAAGTTTAGCATCATAACATTTTTGAGAAAAATGGCTCACTCTATCTGGTCCGACAGGCCGCTGTAGATCTCATCATCAGGAGCGCATCCCTCCAAAGGAAAAGGCCTAGAGGAGCAAAAGTGTGTGTGAGTGTGTGTTTGCGGGTGAGGGTGGTAGAGGAGGAAGGGTGTAAGGAGAATGACAATTATCAAGTGATTCATTATTTTAAATTACTTGTGTTACATTTAGCATTGAAGCAGTATATAAACATTTAATAAATTATTGATTGCACTATAATACAGCTGTAAACAGATGTGTTAGATGAGGCATTATGCATTGTAGTGAATTTTGAAGCATTTATTAAATGTTTATTTCGAGCTTATAAATGCTAAATAGCAGAAAGAAAAGTGTTACCAAAAAACTGCATTAACACCTCACTTATGCCACAGAGGAAGGAAATTACTTACTGGAGTCCTCTTTGTGTCGCAATGGATGAATGAGACAGGATGGACAAAGTGTCTATGACCTGTCACACAAACACACAGAGAGGTATGTAGTTAGTATATCCTGTGCAGAGTGAGACACAGACTGGTAGACAAAGAGTAAGAGCTGTTTCACACCTCAAACATTAACGCTGAATAATTCTGCTCCAAACTGGTTTCACTCTTATTCTGTTTTAGTGTGTAAATGAGAACTGCAGTATCATGATGAGTGATTTCAGATAACCAATTTGATGAGAGATGTGATCAGAAGCGAACTCAAAGTTGTCACATTGCACTTCGAATGAAATTGATCATTCTTTCTGATTAAGCAGCAACGTGTCTCGGTGAACTCCATATGTCAGCCTATCTGTGCTTAGAGGCACGTTTTAAAGCGATGATGTCATGGATTTTTTGTTACTTTAATTATTTTTGTCATTGATAATTATTTTTCACAAGTTGCCTCCCAGATCAATGAAATACGATTCATTACTTTCAGAGAAACAAATAAAAATAAGGTGGGCCTCTCATTACGCTTGTGGTGATATAAAATAAATATACTGTCCAAGTAAAGACTAAACTTCAGTCAGTTCTGCTGTGCTACTTTTTTTTGCATTTTCTATTTTCATTGAAGACAGAGAAAGGAAGAAATATGTAACAAGAAGTGAAAATCTGTGGGAGAAGTTCAGAAAAGAGAAATGTCTGAATGGACTGATTTACAGCTCAATAACCACTTAACAACAACTTTAATGAAACGGTTTCACATTTTGGGAAATGTGCTTCTTCGCTTTTTGCTGGAGACTTCAATTGAACTTTGATACCACACTCATGTCACTGACTATATCATAATCTGGTTAGCTTATCTTAGCATAAAGCCTATAAACGTGGGAAACAGCTAGCTCAGGACTTCTTGAAAGTAACAGAGTCCGCATACAGCAGTGTCTGGTCGGGGCCCCTCGTCAGTGTTCATGTGTGTATGACTTGTTAGCACTTCCACCAAAGAGAGTTCCCCTCTAAACTTCTCACATGGTCAAATTCAATAACTATTTGAGGACCTAGAAAGAAATTATGCAACATTTTTACAAAAAAGAAAAATAAAAATTTGAAAAAAAGTCTCAAAAATGAACGCAGCAGAACTTCTTTTCTCTAGTTCCATTAATCATCTCACAGTTCCTTAGATTTATTTTGTGACCCTTTGAAGGGGCCCGACCCATAGGTTAGGAACCACTAGACTAAACTACCAAACTGTACATGAAGGACGTAAAACTGCCTCCACCTCGTCCAGCTACAACACAAAACCACCACTGTAAAGAGAGTAAAGAGTTTACTGTAGTCCTACTTTACTGTACAGGGTGACTGACTGGAAGCAACAAAGTGAAACGAGAAGCTAAGTGACAGGAACACACTGTAAACTAAATAAACTGTAAAAAGACCCCACATTCAGGTTGAGGGTTAGGGTTCCACCTCCTGTTGACTCATTTCGGTTTTTTTACAGACCAAGCTTCCTCTTACTTTGAACATACAAATCAAATGAGTGCACATTCTGAATCACCCCTTGTAAAGTGCTGTGGCTGCACTGCACTGAAAGTGAAAGAATTCTCAAATTTTGAATTCATGTGTTCACTGAGGAGCTTCAATTAGAAAAATCACCACCGTACTTCCTGTCAGGGCTCTGTGGGTGTCTGCAAGCTGCAGTGCTTCTGCCTTCTACCATAATGACTGGCATATGAGTGCAAAAGGTGTTTACCTCAAGGAGGGGTCATAATTACTGCACTGCGTTAGGTCGATATAGTGGTGCTTGAAAGTTTGTGAACCCTTTCTGTATTTCTGCATAAATAATACACAAGACGTCCTAAAGGGAGATAAAGAGAACCCTAGTAAACAAATCAGACAAAAATATTATACTTGGTCATTTATTTATTGAGGAAAATGATCCGTTGTTACATGTCTGCGAGTGGCAAAAGTGTGTGAACCTCTAGGATAAGCAGTTAATATGAAAGTGAAATTAGAGTGATGTGTTTTCAATCAGTGGGATGGAGCCCTGTTTTATTTAAAGAACAAGGATCTATCAAAGCCTGATCTTCACAACACGTTTGTGGAAGTGTGTCACGGCACAAAGAAAGGAGGTTTTGAAGGACCTCAGAAACAGAGTTGTTGATGCTCATCAGGCTGGAAAAGGTTACAAAACCATCTCGAAAGAGTTTGGGCTCCACCGGTCCACAGCCAGACACATTGTGTACCAATGGAGGAAATTCAAGACCACTGTTACCTTTCCCAGGAGTGGTTGACCAACAAAGACCACTCCAAGAGCTTGGCATGTAATAGTCAGCAAGGTCACAACTTAAGTTCATGAGTCCACCATGGGTATAACAGTGAACAACACTGGTGTGCCTGGCAGGGCTGCAAGGAGGAAACCACTGCTCTCAAAAAATAACATTGCTGCTCATCTGTGGTTTGGTCAAGACCATGTAGACGAGCCAGAAGGATAGTGGAAGAAGGTTTTGTGGACGGATGAGACAAAAATATAACTTTTTTTCATTTTCTAAAAGAGAAGTATTTCATCTATGAAACTTAATGGTGGTAGTATCATGGTTTGGGCCTGTTTTGCTGGATCTGCATTAGGACAGTTTGCCTTCATTGACGGAACAATGAATTCTGGATTATACGGGAGAATCTTAAAGGAAAATGTCGGGGCATCTGTCCATGAACTGAATCTCAAGAGAACGTGGGTCACGCAGCAAGATAACCACCCTTAGCACGCAAGTATTTCTACCAAAGAATGGTTAAAGAAGAATAGAGTCAGTGTTTTGGAATGGCCAAGTCAAAGTCCTGACCTTAATCTAATGGAAATGCAGGACTTGAAATCACCAACATCCCAGAGTTGAAGCTGTTCTGTAGGGAGGAATGGGCAAAGGTTCACCTTTAGTATAATATTTTAGTCTCTTTTGTTTAATTGGGTTCTCTTTATATTCTCTTGATGATCTTTGATGTTTTGGGTCAAGTTTGTGCAGAAATATAGAAAATTACAATAGGGTTCAAAAACTTGGAAGAACCACTGCAGGTAGGTACGTAGGTAGGTAGGTAGGTAGGTAGGTGGGTGGGTGGGTACGTAGGTAGGTAGGTAGGTGTGTTGGGGTGATACCTTTGCGAAGTCCCGAACATCAAACAGGTCAAAGGCCTCAAACAGTTCACTCTTCTTGAGATGAAACCTCTCTTGGCTAACTCCCAGGAATGTCCGGATGTTCTTTAGGCACAGAAACTAAACACAAACACAAACACAAATATTTCTTTACTTGACTGCTGAAATGGTTAGTCATGGCTCTACAACCTCTACAGCGTACGACACCCCTTTGTTAATGAGTTGATCAACAGATAATTAATTGATTAACAATACAAACAATCTTTGCCAAAGATACAGTGTCTTACATGTGAGAATTTGCTGCTTTTCTCTTGTTCTATTTTAATGCAAATTGAATATAAAGATAATCAACGGATGAATCAGCAATGAAAACAGGATCAATACACATTAATTTGTTGTATAATTATACCATGTTCATCCAAATAGCTACTTAAATGAAACATGGGCAACAACATTCAAATGCATATCTTTAACAAGATACAGCAAAAAAAAAAACCTTAAAAAACTTAGCAACAAATGAGACTAAACATTTAAAAAAAATTAAAATAAACATAATAAACATGTTAACGCTCATACTGTAGAGCACATGAGGCAGCCAGTGTTACACATCACATAGCAGGCAGACTTCATACAGAATCGTCCGACATTGTTGAACATAGTCAGATGAAAATAGTGTTGAATATCACATTGATTCTGCTGTATGTCCAATGAGACAACTCTTAAGTTTGAAGAACTGATGTGGCTGTCATGTATACACAACCACAAATAGTTGCACAAAAAAAAACCTTCATCAAAGTATAAGTGAACGCTAATCAGCTGCACACACCACATGAATGTGAACAGTAATGAGCTGATGCGAAGAGACGCCTGAAATTAAAAGAAGAAATAAGAGAGGCAGAATTTTAAAGCTAAAATATAACTACAGGAGAAACCACAGCGAGCACAGAGCACAATGCGACTGACATGGTGGTCAGACATATGCAGTTTTACATAACTTCCTGAACTAGCTGCTCTCTCTCTCTCTCTCTCTGTCTCTCTCTCTCTCTCTCCGTCTGTCTGTTCAGCAGTGGGAAATGCGGAACTCTAATTTGAGAAAAGGGGAAATGTTGAGTTCTGGCTGATACTGCTGCACACTTCACATCACTCTGTCAGGAGTTTACATTAACTCACAGTCGTACGTCTGTCCCTGCGACAGTAACTCACAGAGCAGTGAACCTTATTGCAAGAGAGCAGGGGAGGTCCTCTACTTGTACAATGTCATCAGGTGTGTGTTTGTGTGTGAGTACATGTGTGTACATGTGTGTACACGTCAGAGTGGACTCCTGTCTTCTGTTAATCACCGGATGTTTCTTAACCACCCTTGACCTCATAGGATTTCCCAAAGTTTCACATTGCACGTGTCGAAGCACATTAAGTCCTATGTACACACACACACACACACAGTCACACACAGTCACACACAGTCACACACAGACACACACACGCTCACACACGCTCACACACACACACACACACACGTTAAAGACATCACAGACAGTTCCAGATACGATTCAAGGACTTCCTTACACAAGTTTTGGCCAACCGCGTGACAGCAGTGTCTCTTTCTTTGTCACACTCTCTCGTTCTGTCATTCTCGTGTTTCATATTTCGCTTACCCCCTCTCCTCTAACTCTCTCTGTCCACTCAGAGATGACCCAGTTTCTTTGTTATTCTTTTCACTCCAGGTTTCTTGTGTATTTGGTTGTGTCAGATGGGATTGATTGATACCACTCTCATGTTGTTTGTTTTGTTTGGTGAATATGAAGCTTTAATCAGCAGGTGGTCAGCTTAGGTTGGCATAAAGAGTGTGAAATGTTTCTGCCCAAAGGTTAAAAAAGGTTATATCTTGTATGTGTTATCCCATACAAAAAAATGAGGTGTACTGTGTGCAAGCTTGCTGTTTCCCCTATTTCCATTCTTTGTGCTAAGCTAAGCTAACTGGCAGCAGCTTCATATTTAGTATGCAGACAAGAGAATGATTTTAATCTTCTCATCTGATTCTCGGCAAGAAAGTCAATAAGGGTATTTCCCAAAATGTCTAAAACTATTCCTTTAAAACACTGACATTGACATTTTCAGCATTGTTTCATTATTAACTACAGCTCTTAACTTGAATGGAAAAAATCTGGCACATGATATTACGTAACTGTTTTGGTATAAATTTGTGCAGCTTTAGATCCAGATGCAAATTAGGTATATATTTTTAATTAGATGGAGTAAAAATCTCCATCTTATCACTTGATTTTTATAGATTGTTGAGTCCTAAAGGTCCTAAATGTGCAAAACAGGAAAATATCAGCCAGAGCAGTGAGATCATCTCAGCTTGTGTCTCATACAAATCAACATCTTTTTTAGGACTCACAAATCACTTTTCAGTGCTTATTCTGTCTTCCTTCAAACTAATGACACTGATTCCTACAAAACTCATGAAACAAGTTGATCTTCTGGGAAAAAGGTTAACAGATACAGATCACAGCATTTTCCTATCGGGCTGCTGCGGGGCTTCAATACTGCCCGCTGGTCGCTAAGGAAATGTCCTATGGAAATGGAGCAGGAAAAGGTTTGTGTGTGTGTGTGTGTGTGTGTGTGTGTGTGTGTGTGTGTGTGTGTGTGTGTGTGTGTGTGTGTGTGTGTGTGTGTGTGTGTGTGTGTGTGTTTTCTACCTGGGACATCTGTGGGCGCAGGTTGATCTCTCTCAGGTTGACCGCCTGTGGCAGCAGGTTGTTGAGCAACTGGCAAAGCAGCACGCCATCTCTCAGAGCCTGAGCCAGGTCACACACCTTTCATCGCACACACACACACACACACACACACACACACACACACACACACACACACACACACACACACACACACACACACAATTAAATTCGGGAGCCAAGACAGTATGGGTATACGAAGCTATGACTACGTACATGTATGTGACACAGCCAATTTACCTGTGCGCCTTCCCATGTGACCCGGTGGTTCTCAGGAAGAACTCGGCAGTCGATCAGCCACATCGCACACTGCCGCCACAACTCCATCTTTGTTTTCTAAAACAGACAGACAGACAGACAGATAGACAGACAGACAGATAGACAGACAGACAGACATGAATCACTTTGTCAGACTGTAAGTTAGCGCTCTCCTGACAATCAGTAGATAGATAGATAGATAGATAGATAGATAGGTAGGTAGATAGATAGATAGATAGATAGATAGATGGGTAGATAGATAGATAGATAGGATTTTGTTAAATAACATTATTCAGCAACCAGTGGGCACTATTGCTCTGCACAGCACCCAGTAGCAGTGAATCACTTTGTCAGACTGTAAGTTAGCGCTCTCCTGACAATCAGAGATGACTTTGCTTCACAAGAAGCCAACAACAAGATCATTTGTTGAGTTAACACTGAATAGAAATGAGAAGTATCCACTGTCTGAATTCACACATATAAAAGCGGCTTCAGATTTATACATATATGAAGCAGCTCTGAAGGTCACTTTGTCACAGTCTAACCCCTTCTTTTTTTTTTTTGTAAAACTAGAACCTGGACATGAAACATTGAACATTATTCAATTAGTCTGAGACCAAATCAGCAGCATTTTAGTCGGACTTGTAGCGAACACAGAGCAGTTTATTCCTTTCGGTAAAATATTGTTGCCTTCTTGAAACCCAGTAAAATAAAAAAAATAAAAATGCCACTGCTGTTCCAGATGACTGTAACTTTCTAACTGTATATCAATGTAGGCTGGTATTACAGTCAGCTCTCACCTTAAGTAGTTTCTCCTGGCAGTTCTATGTCTTCGTTCTCGATGTTCACCTTGCTTTCATTATCTCATTTTCAGACTTCGGCGCTCTTGTTCTGCCTTTCTTCCGTGGTGGGTGTTCTGCAGAGCTGCACTGTGCTGAAGGCTTTTAACTTCATCCCGCAACTTCCTTTTTCCTCTGACGCACCCTCACACAGTTGCATTGATACTCACAGATGCACGCACGCACATGCACACGCACACACGCACACACCCACAAAAAGCTGCTGCTGTTGGTGTTGCTGCTGCTATGAGTGGTACAAATTGATAAAACGGTGTGCACTGTGTGTGAAAGGCAACGCAAAGATTACCACAGCATTATACAGACTGCCCTCCAAACAAACTTCTAATGTGGTAATATCATATGCATGTCTCATACATTCCTCACTCATGTTTATGTGTTATTTAAGTTTCAGTAGGTAACATGCAAAATTTAGAGGCAACAAGTTGAAGGTTTTTTACAGAGATGTTTTATCCACTTTTATGATCCTAAAATGCTGTTTTGATTAAACCAGTTACAGCAGCTTTAGGGGAAAAAGACTATATTAGAGTAATATATTCATTTAGTATTGAGCAACTCATATTAAATTCTTGAAGTCTGCCCGAAAGCTGAACAGCAGAGAGACAGACTGCTGTCATAATGTCATTGAAGGAAAAATCATGGAGCTGCTCCATGAATAATGAAACAGCTGCTCAGACGCAGACAGCACCCAGAGGTGCTTTTACTGGCATGTGAGCACATTTTTGTATTCACAACTGGGAATCCCTACAGTCAAAACTTATCCAGATGTAACATCTCCAACAGAAAACTCCAAGTCACTTATTTAGAGTCACTAGTTCAACAGATGGCGTCAACTGGTGATATCAGCGATTCAGTCATCGCATTCTGATGTAGAACGAAGCCAGACAGTTGTCTATATTTGTTGATCTTGATCTTACTGTCCCAATTCATCAGACCAACACAGTGTAAATGGCATTTTTTGGTGGATTCTTTTTTTCCTTAAAAGGGTCAGTTCACCCAAATCACACACGTACAAAAACACATTTTCCCATTTAACCTTTTTATATACAGTCTCTGCATTTAACCTTTGTGGTGTCTATCTATCTGCCGACTTGCTGATTTACCGACTTGCACTAAAGTATGGCGTATTATATTATATTATATTATAGTTACTGTACAGATTTTAGCCCTTAATTGCAATGTCTGTTATTTACCTACCTGATTGTTTTTGTGCTTTATGTCAACTGGCTGCTGCAATACTACAATTTCCCTTTGGGATTACTAAAGTACTCTATCTATTTATCTATGTATCGATCTATTTTTCTGCCCTTTTGAGATTTCTTTTAGCCACCCCAATATAATAGATCTGAATGCAATTTCATTTGCTCTGGTTAAGGGATCGATAAAAGTACATTTGAAAAAAAGGTTTTTCCAGAAACAATCCTCTGGTGACTGAGGAATATCCAGAAATTTGAAACCTCTATATGAAACTTCATTCACCTCCATTGTACTGAGGTGGCAGGGAATAAAGTTTCAAATCTTTTGGCCACAACACCTAAACTATCTGCTTGTCGAGATGCTAGTTGAGATATGTTTTGTTTTTTTGTGGTTTGGACATAAAGATTGTTAAAGCAGTTGGTCAGTTTTAAGGTGAGCTTCTCCAACTCTGGCCGAACAGCAGCCACTGTCGTCACAAGGGGTAATTACAGGATATTGGTAAATGCTACAACAGTGAAACTATTGCATAAGTAGAGACGAGTCATTAATTCAGCGAACTGACTCAGTCATGCACCAATATCTCTCAATACATCAGCAAGTAAGGTTGTGGCAATTTGGCAAATTAAATTGAGCAAAGGTGTGTTTACTACGTTTAAATTTAATTCTTTATTTTTTTAAATGAAGGGTGTGTTATTTCTTCTGTCCATAAAATTGGTGGTCGTGCAAGAGAATGATTAAAAAAAAAGAAAAGAATAGTGAAAATGGAGGCAGTGGAGGCTGAGACGTCCTGACTTTTAGAAGGCATCAAGCTCCAAAAACACACTGGGTCCTACATTACCCATAATGCTTCATACGCCATACTCCCTGCCAAGTAAACTCACACCTTCTGTATACACAGACTGAAAGCCCTTTAAATCACCCCGGGAGAAAAAGGCCTGTGTCACTTTTTACTTCAACACCAGGTGTCAGTCTAACACCCATCTCCATTTCGCCTGCAGATACTGTATCTCCTCACATAAGACCTGGACAGACAGACAGACAGATAAGAAGACATGCCATTGTGCATGCATGCCTATCTCTGACTTGACATGTTGACAGCTGCCTAACAGTCTTACAGTTTCATACCCCTACCCCCCACTTCATGTTTTTCAGAACTCTATCTCTCTCCCATGGCATGCCTCAACCTGCGCTCTCCGCCTCCTGAGAGCTCATGCTAATTCCTCTGTTGTGATTTGCTGCCTTCTGAGAGGGTACTGCAAGCCCACTGCACACATCTGATTGGCTTTTTGAGTGACCCAGCAGGTTTGAGGGGGAGCGGGCTTCCACTATCGCCACAAAGACAAGTCAGAGATGGGCTTAATGACAGAGGCTACATCCTAGATGAGAGCAGCTGCAAGGGAAGAGAGCAAATTGAGGGAAAGTAGGAAAAGTAAGAAGCACTATGAGATAGAAATATTACAAGGAGAAAGAGAGAAGTAAAATCCCTGAGTGCCTCGGTGGACCCTGTACACAGGTAGGTGTTACATACTGTTGCTGCTGCAGTGCAAACACTACAATGTCTCTCTGCTTGTGTGCTTTCTAAAAGTAAGCTGGAGTCAGACTCTTTAAAACTCTCTAATTTGGACATTTCTCAGAAACTTGTGCACAAAAAAAAACATGTACAAGCATGTGTGTGTGTGTGTGTGTGTGTGTGTGTGTGTGTGTGAGTGTGTGTGAGTTTGCATGTGTGCTGGTATGTAATCAGTACCTCTTCTGTTCAGACATGAATAATCGCTCTATCGCCTGGTGGCTAAGACAGGTCGGCCTGCCCCAGTACACCAAGACACTAGAAAGCGAATATTATGGTCTTGAGGTATGTGAATGTCGAAAACGCCATCTTGTGCTTGTGTGTGCTTGTCGATATCTCTTCCGTCTTCTTTTGTGCACTTCAATCTTCATAATCCTCAGTTTCTTTTTATTCTTTAATCACCTTGTGTCTCTGCAGGGCCTGCTGAATGTAACTGATGGAGAACTGAAGGATGCAGGGATAGAGGATGCAGCGCACCGAGAGACCATCCTGAACCAGCTTTCACAACACAGAGAGAGACTGGACCCACACTATGGTGACGCGCTCCGGCCACACGCAAGCACACATGCATGCACACTAGGGCTAGGAGACGATGTTAATATTCATCATTTGTTGAACAGTTTATATCAATATCATTTCGTATCACATGCCAGGTTGGATTACCAACCAGGCAAAGCAGACAACCAGGCCCCAGAACTCTGGCAGCCATGAAAGCTTCAGGCTCACTGTTTGTTTGTGCTCTAAAGCACAGTTTCAGCTGAAAAGGGGCCTTAAGGCGAGTCTTGCTCTGTTACTTGATCTTAAGGGACCTGTCTTGAGGATGGTCCCTAGTTTTAAAACGTTCAGTGTTTCAGTTTTGTGTTTAAATATTGCATAATGCTAATTAATGCTTATTCAAATTACCACCACAGCAAATTTTGGGGGGTGGGCATTTTAACGCTGCATAAAAACTGGGAGAAACAGGAGTTCAACAGGGACCCAGCTGATCATTTTTACACCTAGCAAGTTAATCCAGTCATGAATATCGTAGTGTGTTGTACAATCTTCAATTGGACAAATTATAATTCAAAACTGAAGTCTTTGCACAAATAGTTTTGAATGATGCTTTGCATATATTTGCAATATGATACTATACATTGGTTATTGTTTAAAATGATTTTTGGTAGAAATTCCAAAACAATATTTATTTTAATAGCTGTTGTTTACAGATATAAGCACATTTCTCAGCAACATCTTATTTTCCATTTAAGAGAAGAAGCCAAATTACCAAATTATTTTTTTTATTTAAATAAGAAACTAAATGTAAATGGGTTTATGAATCTGACATGTGATGCCAGCTTTCAGTACTGGACAGTTTTCCTTCTGGGTGATACAGACACGTTTTGGTTGGCACCAAAAAAAGCACTGAGGTTTGATCTATCTTGTTTTTTTGTTGTCTGTTGTCTTTTGTTTTTCAGTCTGTGTTGTCTTAAAGGGTCTCCATAGATCAACAGGCATATGTAATTTGCTATAAACAATAGTGCACTGCCTGTTTCTAGGAGCCAAGGTTGTGCAGACCAGGTGCATGTGTTAGCAGAGAGAGGACAGCCAGAGCCTCTGGTGATGGAGGTCATAGCCACAACAAACAGCCTGTGTCCCTGTGTCTCATGGTCAGTTAGCCTCTCTTAGTGGGACAGAGGTGATTGGGATACAACATGAGTCAGGGGGGAGGTGAGGTAGTGTTTAGGATTAGGTATCCAATACAATCTTCACACATGCCTGGATGTGATGTAGTCCAAGAAGAATGACCTTATTTGGACATGTGGTAGGTATGATGTAGTTATGGGGTTAAATGTGGTCAGCAGGAAGGATTCCTTCAGAATGGGGTGGCGTTACACAGTGTTTGTGCTTGCATTGCTCATCACTTTTCTCCGTGATGCATAAAGCTGCAATAAAATGCTTCTGACATGAGACATGAGTCTCCATCACTATACCCAGCCATATTTATAATGGAAATATATCATTCTTAATACTGTGATACGGATTTTAATCTTGCCGCCCGGTCCTAGTGCGCACACTGACTACATGTGCACGTTCACATAGATACATACATACATACTGTACATACACATCGAAGACTGTCTGTTTCATTTGCTCATTTTATGTACAGCAAGTTTATTGAAGTTTTTCATGTAAATATGTTTCTGTGTGAGGTGTTTATGATAGAAGCCTACTGATAAACTAAAATCATCCATTTCCATTTCAACTTGCAGAGCACTCTTTGTTTATAACTCATTCACGTTTAGAGTGACAGGCCGGTTTATCCACTGAAACCATTATTTATCTGGGTCGTTTACTGACTTGTTTTTGCTTAGTATAATCAAAATAAGTTAAATGAGAAAATCTACAGAGTAAGGCCTGAACGATAGATGTCGCAAGTTAAATAATGTCCACTATTAAAGGAATAGTTCAACATTTTGGGCAACTCTGACAGGAAATATGTCAAAACAGCTAACCTGGCAGACATGAGAGTGGCTCTTCTTTCCTTTAACTCTCAAGCATGTACGCATACTTTCCAAAATGTTGAACTATTTCTTTACAATATGCCTTTGTACCCTCAGCTGTGCAGGTGCTGGAGCGCAGGGTGAGCCGAAAGTACTCCCTGGGATCGTCTATTGACCTGGTGAGACAACTCACTTAAGGTCACACAACACAGACACCTCCTCAGAACACATTTACCACCTCCCTTTAAGACAATGCAAACAGTAGCTTCAGGAGCCACACTATTTGGGTATCTACCATGTCCTGCAGGTGAAGCCTCGGAAGGATCTGTTTCGTCAGAGTTTTCTGCCCCGCCTGCACCGCGCAGACAAAAAGCACCGCCTGTCTGCCTCCTGTTCACAGTTACGCCCCCTGAATGAGGACAACGCTCACATCAGTGCGACAGACCGCTGTCAGGACAGCAAACGCAAGTAAGTTCAAAACCCCCCCCCCCCCCCCCCCCCATGGGTGTCATGTGTGTGAGTCTGTGAAAGAGTGCGATGGTGGTCGTGTGTGTGCGCATGTGTTTATGAAAGAGATCCAATTTCTCCAGGTAGTCTACTCATATTTGGCTAATCATTAACTAATGCCTTACAAAGTATATGTCAGACTTTGTAAGTTGAAGTAGGTGTCAGTCGACTCTGAATAGGCTGAGGAGACTAAATTAATGAAAAGCCTCTATAAAAACGACAGATCACAACCTTACATTGTACTTTCCTCAGAGAGGAAAACAGCAGCTTGCTGATGACTAACACGATAAACAACACACCTTGGGACTTTGATATTTTAGCCAATCTTCCCTTCAGTGAGAAGCCAAGGACTAAGTGACAAAGGCCAGTGTGTGTGTGTGTGTGTGTGTGTGTGTGTGTGTGTGTGTGTGTCTTGAAGTTGAATGCAAGCTCATTTTCAGTATTAAAGGGCCAGATCACTTATATTTACAAAAAGAAAAGTTTCCACTCTATGACTGGTGCTATTAAACCATGTAAATAGTTTTGGTTTTGGTTAGTTGGTTTGTTTTGATCAGAGATATTCAAATCTAATATTATTGCTGTCACCTCAATACAACAGGAGTGAAGGGAAATCTGTCTGAGGTGGTAAAAGCACTACTCTGAAAGATCCACAGACCTTACTGTGAACAGTTTTCACATTTTCTCACTAGATACTCGACGTACATAGTGTTTGGTCTTGAAATAACTGCTATCCCCAACACAGTCTGTCATTCTTAAAGCAGTGAAAAATGACATTTTAGAAATTTGCCTAAAAATTTCTTTCCAGAACTGCTCTGCATGTTACAGTACACTGATCCACCGAACAAGATGTGAAGGGTTTTTTTATTTTTATTTTTTTATTGGAACTACGCTTCCTACAGAAAAGTAATCTCCATGAAATTTGTTGACCACATACTGTATGTGATGATGGACTGCTGGGCTCAGACACATAAAAGGCCCTTCCTCCATATGCAGCAGCAGACCCTCCAGACTGTGAAGTACAGCTGTTGGGTGAAAATCTGCACATATTTTGTTAACAGTGGAGATGAGGACAGGCTCTAAAAACTCCTTTAGAAAACTTCCTGCCACAGCATATCCATACTGACAGTCCTCCCCACATAAAGTATACAACTAACTATTATTTTCATCATCTATTAAACTGCTGATTATTTTAATTACTTGTTTGGACTTTAAAATGTGAAAATACCGACAAATATCCAGCACAATCTTGTAAAGGCCAAGCTGAAGTCATCAAATGTCTGGTTTTGTCCCAAATGAGTTAATTGTGACATAAAATAATAAAGAAAAGCAGCAAATCCTCACAAAGTAAATGCAGGGAAATATGACATAAACAATTAACTGATTGTCAAAAGAGTTGCTATGTGGAGCAGGTTTTATATATTTAAAGCAGAACAACTCAGCTGACAGATGTATTTAAATCTTTACTGTAGCCTGAGTAAGCACTGTGCAGCTGTACAACGAGGTTGAGACAAGGAGCAAAAACATGACCAGGACTTGCCTACTTTTGGTTGAGCCCTCAGACTTTCTTACAAGAAATGTTAGTCACTTTATACAGAGCCCCCGCCCCACACTGGTGCCAGATGTTGCTGTTGAAATCTTTATGTTGTTTTTCACTGCACTTAAAACCAAAATTATCTATCGAGTAAGAAAATACTTTTTAATGTCTTCTGATTGGGGTGAACAAATCCTTTAATCTAGGTACAAAAATGGTTTCTTCTTAGATATTATTGAGTCCCATCCATGGAGAGAAAGAGTATCCTCTTTAATGCAACAGCTGACAGGCACTGTAAGTGTATAAATGGAGGCTGTCAAGTTCAGGCACATCTCTGCTCACTGCTTGTCATGTGGTGAATGCTAAAAGCCCCTGAGGTTGTAAACCTAAACTGTTCTCAATGAAGTAGACAGTTCTCTGCTCTGATTGGCTCAGACACATATGAAACCAGGTAAAATAACTGATACAAACACCTGGCTGCACAAACAAAGCAGCCAGGTGCACTAGTGCACATGCGGAGAAAACATTTATAAACTGGAATCAACAGACAAGTGTTGATTATTCAAAGCTTCATTACTGAGAATTTGTGTTTGTCATGGACATCTGTACAACATCTTTTCTGAACCACGGTCCTTCGAGTAGGCAACATTACTCACTAACCCAAACCAACCAGTACTCTGGAGCAGAGACAGCCTTATTTGTTCAACGGATTACTCAACTAAAAGAAAAGTAATTGGCAACACTTATGGTAATTCATTTTTAAACAGAAAATGTCAAAGATTCCCTTGAACTAGCTTCTCAGATGTGAATATTTGCTAGTTTTCTTGGGCAGTAAACTCAACATGCTTGGGGTTTTGATTAGACTGTTTGACTATAACTTGATGATAAAAATCGTTCATTTATTACAGAAATGATTGTCAAATGTATTGATAATGACGACAAATGTTGGCTGCAACCTCACAGCACTAGGCCAACACACTTTACAACAAATGAGCTCAATAAAAAAAAGTTTTAAAACTGGATTTTGACAGTGTCTCTCACCACGGCCACAACATGGAGGTTGATGTTGTATTTCAGTGGTGGAAACTTATGATGAATTTTCGATTAATCAAATTAGAGCCAAATGACATGGGGTAAACCTGGGGGGGTTTGAGGTCACACGGTAATCCATCTTAGTTTTTTTTTTATCTGAGATGAGTTGAGAAGAAACCAAATCCATACCACATGTTTTACCGTCACATACCTCTGTACAGCTGCCAACCGTATAATCCTGACTTTAGCCAGGTGATGTGTCAGCTCAGCTTGTGTAGGTATCCGAGGAATGCCAGGCAGATAGCGGTGTTTCAGCACCGGGGCCCGGGGCAGGGAGAAGGAGGACAGGGAGAAGGAAGAGGCGGAGGAGAGCACGGGCGAACTTGCGGGAACTCGTCCGAAACTGCTCGTGCAGGGAGGAGGAGGGCGGGGGGAGAGGGACGAGAAAGGTGCCGGGAAGGACCGGAGCGGAGAAGGACTGAAGGCTTGTCCTAGCTGTTGTTTAGGGGTGTTTTAGTTTGGACCACAAACTTGTGAAACATGTCCGGGACGAGTTGGCTGTGAAGCGGGCTGACAGGTAGGACCGTTGGCCGCTGCTGGTGCAATGTTTTCGAACAACAGACAACCTCGTTGATTAACGCGAGAGGTTCGTTGTTAACGGTTGATTTACCTTTTGCTTTGGTATTTGGTAACATTTATCCACCTCTGGACATGTACAGCTGTTAAATGTCGCTTGAGTCTTTTTAGCCCCCCACAAAATAGTCAGTGTTACTTTGGTTACTTCTTACTAACTTACTAACCTGTTGCATAATTTGTGGAGTTAAGACTCAGTTTCAAAACTAACGCGGCCAAATAAAAACCATTTAACTACTTTACAGTGACATTAGCATTAGCTTTAATGTCTGTGTCGATGAGATTACTCTGAGGAAAACCAGCAGACTGGTGAGTCGGAATAAAAATAGTTTGAGACATATTTATATGAAGTTTAAGGTTACATTTCACAATAGTATCTCTCCAGAACATTGCACAGGTGTTTCTGCTGTGCTGCCTGGGCCAACGCCCCTCAAACAGGATGTTGCTCCCTCTTATTTCATAACGAATCTTAAAACTATGATTTATGGGGAACACTGTTTGTTCATGTGTGTGTCTCTGTCACCTGGGTTTTCTTTCTTTTTCTTTTTTCTTTTTTTTCTTTTCTTTTTTACAGCTGTAGTAGCTGCCATTTTACACCTTGCTAAACCCAGTGCAGTCTGACTCAACAGATCTTCCATAAATGCTACCTTTATGATAGATAGCATTTATGATAATGCTCAGTTTTTGTTGAAACTATTTAAATAGGTTTTGATTCAACTTTATCGTCATTTTGGAGGCTCTGGTTTGTGAATGTTTTTAATAGTTTATCCACCCATTTACACTCAGTTGGCAGTTTATTGCTGTAGGTACACCCAGCTAAAACTAATGGAGTTCAATACAACAGTCCTTCATGAAAGTTATAATGTTCAGTGATAAGGATGTAGTTGGTGCTGCTGTTGAACTTTCTTGCATTATACAGAGAGGTGTTTCTGTTATTTATCCTGCTCTTATTGATATAAATGGGGTGGACAATGTATTAGAAACACCTGTCCATATAACATAGTGCAGTTCAAGAGCATCACAAACTGCAGCCTCCAAAATGATCATACAAAACCATATTAACACAAACTGAACATTATAACCTTCATGAAGGACCATTTATTGCAGGACTGTTGTATTACAGTTTTAGCTGGGTGTTCCCAATAAACTGCCAACCGAGTGTATATCAATAAGGTTAGACTAACTATTAGAGACACCTGTCAATATATTGCAATACACTTATTAATAATAATACATTTTATAGGGTGCTTTTCTAGATACTCAGTGACGCTTTACATGTCGAGTTAGGTCAGTAAACAAGCCAAGAAAACTATACACAATACAATAAAAGCACAGAATAGTTGTGTAGTGTGAACTTGAAACAATTTGTACATTAATTGATAAATTATCAGTTGACCAATAGAAAATTAGTTTGCAACTGTTTTGATAACTGATTAATAAGCCATTTTTACAGGAAAAAAATGCCAAACATTACCAAGTACCAGCTTCTCAGTCATTATCTGCAGAATCTGCAGTTTTCTTCATCTTATGTGATCGCAAACTGAATATCTTTGGGCTTTGAACGATCAGACAAAACAAGCAGTTTTCAAAGTGGGCTTTAGGAAATTGTGGTGGGCATTTTTCACAATTTTCTTGCTTTTTTATTGATTGATTGATTAATAATGAAAATAAATAGCAGATTAGTTGATAATGCTTGTTGCAGCCCTAGTGTAGAGTAGGACGTAGGATGAGACATTAAAGGCTGTTTTGAAGTAACGTTCTAAGAATCTTTGTTGTGAAATCCAATAAACTAGGGCCAGCTTGGTCAGTGAGCACAGCTGTCGCTGCAGATACTGCACCACTGAGCTCACTGAGGTCACGTTCTTGTTATTGTTCCTGGGAGTTTTGAGGTTTTAACAACCTTGAGCCACTTAGCATCCCACAGTTAAAAACTTGCATGTGATGGGCTTCTTCTTTATCTTTTTTTAGAGTGATTACACTATTTTTAGACTTTGTGTGATGAAAGATTCAGTGTTTCTCCACTGGAAATGTATTCCTGGCAGCACAGAGAGGGCTTTAAAACAGGATTTAGATATTTCTGTTAGGAAATGAAATGGAAAAGCTTTATTTTTATTGGTTTGTGATTTTCATAATAATTTCCTAGGAAGTCTTTTGGAAAGAAATATGATATTTAGTACTAATTATAGGGAAAATGGAGACAAAATTCAGGGACAAGGATTTTTGTTGTACCTTGTTTATAGGCCATTGCTGTTTTCTTTGAAAGAGCTGTTCTAAATCCTGCAGAAAATATAACTTTCCAGCGAACTCCATAAATATGAAAAATGCAAATAATTTAATAATAAACACTTTTTTTTGTGTGTCTGTGGGATGGTGACAGGAAGGAGTTCGACTCATGACCTCAGTCTTTCTGAAGTCCAGTTGCAACCCTGTCAGTGGGACAAGAGACCAGGGAGAGCCTAAATGTGGAGGGATCTGGAAGTGAAGAGAAGGAGTTTATTGTAACAGCACCACAAACTGCAGACTCTAAAATAACCATAAAACTGCAAACCAAACCTGAACATTATAACCTTAATGAGAAGACAGTTTATTGAAGGACTGTTCTGCTGGACTGAATTAGTCAAATTAGTTCCTAATAAATTAACAAGCGTGTATTTGTTTTGTTTCAGTCGATGTTAATAGTTATATTCAGGGTCAAAGCAGGGTAAACAAGCAGCCCTCACACCACTGTTGGAGCACAGTGGGGGTTATTGAGTTATTGAGTTCAGCCCTGTTGTGGGCTCTCTGAGCTGCTCATCTGTTAGCTTTGTGTTTACAGAGGCAGGAAGGTGGAAGCTTAGGGAGGAAGGAAGGAGGGGGAAAAAAAAAAGGCAGGCTATTAAAAGTCCCACAGTTTGTATGGTGTTAATGACAGACCCAGACCTTGGCAGTGGCCTTCCATCCTTGTACTGTTCATGTTCAGAGGAAAAACATGGCACCATCCTCTGTGGCTCCCTGGGGTTTCATTTAGTGGCTCCAAATCACCTCTTCTCTCTTGTTTTTCAGCAGGAGGAGCGTCAGTGCATACTTCAGCCAGCTGAAGGTATGAGGTTAAATAAACGGCCTGACTCTCACCTGCTCTTTGTAGCCACCTTTTTTTCTGCATATTTTCCTTTATACCCAAACTCGTACAAAATAGCAGAGCAGAGAAAACATGCAGAGTAACTGTGGTCTCTGCTTGGCTGCTGCTGTGTGCGTTGTAGGTGTTTGGTGGTCGGAGAGAGATGGACTCATTGAAGAAGGAGCTGGAGGAGGAGCTGAAGCTCAGCACCGAAGACCCAAGGAGCCATGCATGGTACCATGGACCACTGACTCGAGAGGTGCTCAATGGGCCATACTATTCTCATTGTATTTGCACTCAATACCACTCTAACATCTCTATAATTAAATATAAAGCTGGAGACAGTGGCCAGTTAACTTAGCTTAGCATAAAGACTGGTGGATTTATTGCATTAGACTGCATTCGTTTTAGCAATTTATATCTAATAAACTGGCAAATGAGTATATTTACCATACAGACATGTAACATCTAACTCTCAGCAAGAAAGCAAATAAATGTTGTTCCAAAACTATCAAACTATTGATTTCACCCTATGGCCAACTAACACTGGACTGAAGTTATATACAGTATGACATCAGCACACGTGAAGCTCCAAGCCCGGCTGACCGAATTGACCTGCTGAGTTTTTTTTTCCAGGCTGCAGAGTCTCTGTTTGAGAGGGATGGAGACTTCCTGGTCCGAGACTCAAGCTCAGCCCCTGGCGACTACGTTTTGAGCTGCTTTTGGAAGAATGGGCCCATGCACTTTAAAATCATACGAGTGGTCCTTCGTCCCAAAAAGGTTTGTCTATGTTACATTTGTGTGTGGGGATAATTGATTTAATCATTGAAATCCTTTATTAATCAACAATGCCAAAAATGAAATGGTTCCAGCTTCTTAAACGTGAGGGTTTCCTGCTTTCCTTTGTGCTCATTCATTACTGCTAATTAAATCTCTGTGGGTTTTTGAGTGCTAGTCAGGCAAATCAAGCAAGTTGAAGACGTCACCTTGGGCTCTGTGATGTGGCAATTGGCATTTTATAGACTAAAGGCAATTTAAGTTCATTTAAGGTTACATTTATTTTGTAATGCAATACCTTTTTGTTGGACATATTTAACATGTGATTTATATTTAGAGGTATTTCTGATACCGTGTCCACCTCATGTAAGTAAATACCATCAGACAAAACATCTTTCAAAATAATGCAGCCCAGTACAACAATTATCATCAGCTATATCCCTGAGAAGTGTCAGGATAAACTGAACAAGTGTGCTGTAAATTATGAATGGAAAAAATGTATCAAAACTCTTGAAATCACACCTGGAGTATGATCCACTTCTCCGACATTGATCCATATGTTCAGTGTGTTCCAAACCCTCAGTCACAACAGACACACTGCACTATACATTATTTCTATGTAGCTCTGAAACACTGGCAGAAATATTAAGTGATTAATTGACAAAGTGATGATTGATTGAAACATACATAGGATGCATACCAATAGCAGAGAAGAGGATTATGCTACAAGAGTGGTTTGAAAAATATTTATGGATTTCTTTGATGCTTTTTTTTTTATTTTTTTTATTTTGCTGTGACTCTTGGTCACGTTTGTGACTTCTATGAATCCTGACCTCTGCTAAGCTGCACGCTACGAAATACTTGAGGGTGAACATCTGTTACTGAAAAGATTTTTGTCACTGTTCATTTAAAGTCTCTGCTTGATGTAATAAGTGTGTGCCTCCATCCGTGTGACAGGGCTACTCTCGGGAGCTGTTCCAGTTTGAGGAGGATCGCTTTGACAATGTTCCCGCTCTGATCCGGTTCTATGTGGGCGACCGTCGGCCCATCTCCCAGGCCTCAGGTGCTGTGATCTTTCACCCAATCACACGGACCCTTCCTCTGCGTGTCATCGTGGAGCAGAATGTGCAGCCCAAAAGCAGCAGCGGCGGCGACAGCAGCAGAGGTGCAGGGGAAGAAAAGCACACTGATCCCGACAAAAGACGCAGCTTCAGCTCTGCGTACACCGACACACTGCAGGCCATCAATCCACTACTGAGGTGGGAGGAAGTCAGTTGAAATGTGTAGTGCACATATACATGTATAGTGCTGAAACATGATGCACGTAGTCAAACAAATACAAATAACCGTGCTCATGAAGTTTATTTTATATGTGGCAGGAGTGGAAGTCAGCCTGCTAACTTGGAGAATGTGGGACGCAGGCCTTCACTTCAGTCTGCACAGTCTGACAGCAACTTACGAACTGGTACATTATCATAAACATGCAACCTACATATACACGTGTCTGTCACTGCTAACCTTTAACGTCCAGATGCAGCTGGACACAATACAAATGTCCACCGGACGTGTAAACAAGTGAAACTCACTTGTGAACGTATATAAATGCCAAAATTTACTGACATAATAGACATGACGTTAATATTTAATGTTGCATTTTGTTAATAATTGACTTTGTCTTTATGTAGATACTGTACACCTAAACTAGTCTGTGATGCAGGTGAAGGAATGAAAGGTTCTTTTTCTGCTAATAGACACTATTCAGGGGACAGAGATACAAATTTAATATAAGAGTCGGTGCAAACTTGTTTATATGCTTGTAAAACAACATAACTGGAAGAGTTGCTGCTAAAGAACAGACAGTTTGAAGATGGTGTGTGATTTGAAACACACAATGGAAGACTGGGGTCGGCCTCCTCTGCTACAGGGTCAGGATATAGTGTCAAAAATGATTTGAGAAGGTATGAAAGCCATCGTTAGAAAAACACTGTGAAGCGAATGAGAAAACATAGTTGCTCTCAGAGGAGGTAGGTCTTCAAGCGATTTTAGAAGACAGAGGGATTCTGCCGACTGAGTACAGTCATTTATTTTGATAGGAGCCTTGCTGGTGGGCTCTATGTAGGCAGTAGAGCTGGACCGATCTATCACCTGATATAAGATTATTGCAGCTATAGCGTCCTGGTGTACAGGTTGGCCGACAAGTAACAAGAAATTGCAGCACAGGAATGCCAAAGTGGATATAAGGTCATTTAAAGACGGCGTCTAAATCTAAATCTAAATCTGCAAGATCCATATTAAGATTGTTTATATCTTAAAAAAGAAGAAAACATAATAATAAGTCCAATATCATATCAGATCTTTGAAACACCTGACTGACCAGCGGTGACTGGGAGCTTTTCAACACTCTGTGGTTTATTTTTCACCTGGCTGCTGTTACTCTTCTTCATCCAGCTGTTCCACAGACAACTCAGTCGGAGGACACCAGCCCCGCCCCCATCTCCCCAGTGTTTCGCACAGGCAGCGAACCCCTGCTGAGCCCACGACCACGACACACACGCCCCTCCCATCCAGGTAACACGCCTTCACAAGCGCACACACATCCTCTTTCCACCTAAGATACACAACTCATAACCCCCCCCCCCTCTGTTCCCGCAGGTGGTGGTGTAACTCTGCGAGGTTCAGATGGACAGCTGCACCCCAGAGCTCCTCCTAAGCCTCTCAGGGTCTCCACAGTTTTCCCCAACGCTATACCTCCTCCCCCCACAGACTCGGACAGAGACCCCTCCTCTTGCTACACCGAGCTGGTCATCCAAGTAAAAAATTCTACGATTCAGTCACGGCTCAGTTGTTTGTTTTTTTTTGTTTTTTTTTCCTAACGTGTATTTTTTTTATTTGGAGAAATGATGAGAGGGGGGGGGTTTATATAAACTTGCTGTTGTGTCCAGGTGCCACAGTCCCAACGGAAGGGCCACGTGGACCGACTACGTGCAGAGGAGAAGTGGCAGAGTCGTGCCCGTCTCACAGAAACTTCCTTTGGCTTCCTGGAGGCCCAGAAGAGCGAGGCATCATCGCAGCTGCTGCTTGAGGAAGAGCTGCAGAGGAAGGCAGCAGAGGAAGAGGACGACTGGCATTTTGAACGGCCACATGTTTGTATTCATGACATTTTTATTTACTGTTTGTAGTTTTCATATTTGCGTCTGTTCTAAGTAGATATAGAGTGAATGGCCACACCAGTGATTTGTAAGTATTAGCTCCTAAACTTCAAACCATGTTTACTTTACGTTTTTGTTGTTCAGATCTGCATCCTGTAGAGTTTTAGATTTTCAAATTCTTTTCAGGCAGCCAACGGTTTCTCCTTATTTCATTTTAATATATATGAAAACCAGACTCTTAAAACTTGTAGGAGTTGTGCAATCCATCACAGCGCTGTCAAGTCGTGCAAGTAAAGTTGGCGTTAAATTTGGGCAGAGCAGCATATTGTTGCAGGCTTCCTGCCAAGTAACCACATAGAGCTGAACTCGATTAATTGCATAAGAGATTTTTTAACCACAAATGTTAAATGTGGCTTTTGTTGGGGTTTTATCTTCATCTTCTGCTTTCATAGCAAATTTGAATATTCTAGCAAATAGTTAGATGCTTTTTCAAGAAAACTATTGGAAGATTAATGAAAATAATTGTACCACACAATGATTTATGTTGCACTGACAAAAATAAATGCAGACTCAAGCGTCTGCTAGACTAGATTTCTAGATTTTCACAAACAGACAACAAAATATCAGTGATTTGTAGTACATGCTCTAAAACATGCAAAGCTACATGTATGATCCTTGAACACTGTAAGAGATAATGCACTGAAATGTAGTTATTATCCTAAAATATCCCTCGCTTTTAAAGGTTTTGATTAAAAGAAGATGATCATGTGTGTAGCTTTCAATCTGAGCTACCCTTCCATGTTCCTGAGGACAGATATAAATGGACCTTGACCCATTCCTGAGAGAACCTGTGTCTGTGTTGTCTCTGTCCTGTGATGGCCAGTTGGGTGACTGTCTTTTGCCACCAGGTGTCACAGTGATGCTGTATGTGACAGGTTGTAACAGCTGTTCATTATTTAGAAAAAAGAGAATACACTTAGTGGCCTAAATATTTAATAGGGGTGTGAAATACGTTGAGGGGCAGTTGTGTGCTAATGTTGTTCTGTTCTACAGACAGAGTCGGGGTCGTGTTTCCAGTTGGATCGGTTTGAGTCGCTGCTTTTACCGGAGAACAATCGACCTCTGGAGCCCAGCGTCCTGCTGGCACTCAAAGAGATTTTCAACCGCTCCAATGCCAACTCCACCGCTTTGCACATGCTCAGTGTTGACTGCCAGGTACGCCACGGCCGTTTGCATAACCATGCAGATTTTCAGTTTCAATGTATGCTTTATTTTATTGTAGTGCTCCAGTCATCTAGGACTGCTCTTAACCAACAGACTTCTTGAGCTCAAAGCTTAAAGAGTATTTTTAATTTGTGAGGAATTTGATAAACAGCTTTTATTCCTCCATCTATGAGTAGCATAACAGTGAAGGACTTTTACTTTTATCTTTCTCTTAAATCCAAAATTTCACTTTTAGCAGTTTGATAAATATGGGTCCATTTATCATTGTTTTGGTACTGCAGGTAGCACGCATCGTTGGAGTGACGGATGAGCAGAAGAGGATTATGGGAGTTGGATCGGGGCTGGAGCTTGTCACTCTGCCACATGGACACCAGTTACGACAGGATTTGTTAGAAAGGTTCTGCTTCTCCGATTCCTGACGTCACTACAAAACACTGTATATGAATGGGATTTTATTTCTGGTGCTGAAAGCGTAAGAAAATTAATTTGACAGCGACGCTTTTTTCCCTGTTACTGTGGATAATACACATAAAATGCTAAACAGTAGTTCTGTGGATTACAGAAAAGAATAGAACACAATTTTATTGTCCACTAGACTCGAAAATTGTCTTTGGCTCACCAACAACTAAAAGCAGCACGAAAACAGATTTGGGATAAGACCTCTTTTGTATTGGCGGGGGGGGGGGGGGCTCCATGTGGGTGGCTCGGTGTCACTGGTGGAAAGTGGGGAAAGTGTTGTTTACCAGCTGCCTTAGTCAGTCTTCTCCCCACATACGCACCAATAATATTTTAATCTTTCATTTCTTTAGGCATCATCTGATAGCACTGGGAGTGGCAGTGGACATCCTGGGCTGCACGGGGACTGTGAGCCAAAGGGCAACAGTTTTACATAAAGTAATCTCATTGGCTCAGGCCCTGAAAGAACACGCCCACAACCTCTACTCCTTCTCAGCTGTGATGAAGGCTCTGGAGATGCCTCAGGTGGTGTGATTATGACAAAGATATGTTTGCTCTATGTCGAAACAAAACAGGAAACTGGTTGAAGTTTCCTTACACACATATTTGTTTCTGTGCACATGTTTAGATACTGCGACTGCAGATGACGTGGCGAGCGCTGAGGAGGAACCACACAGAGAGCGCGGTTTTATTTGAGAAGAAACTCAAGCCCTTCGTGAATTCACTGAACGATGGAGACGGTGAGTGGCGGTGTTTTACCCCAACACATACAACACAACACAGGCCTACAACAATACTACTGTAACACACCAAAAAAGCAGCAGCAGCAACAACAACAGCAGCAGCCAGGTCTATAAAAAAAAAAGGATTCGGTGATGCTATTGCACAATAATAGCTCACAATAATGCCATAACATTGCAATACACATGTCCATAAGCCCATAGCGCGCGGCACACAAGAAAATATCCAAATACGCACATTCTTTTCAACAAAGATATATCAGTGTGAGGTTTAAAGTAATTGACGACTGAATATTAAACTGCTCGGCGGCAGCTCAGAATAAACCAAATAGTTTACCTTAAGCTGCAGGCCAGGTGCTCCAGTGGTTATAATAATCCAGATGTGGCCTCGCGCTCAGGTGTTGTGGAAGTTAAGTCTCTCATACGGGCCCAAAACGTCTGGCTGGAAAGTTGAAGTTGGGTGGCTGGAGAGGCTCCTCAAATGCCGCCATGTCAGGCAGAGTAGAACTGGTCATGTTCACATTATAAGAACATTATGCTCGCTACTAGAGGTGCTACCCCTTGTTCCCACGGCCACGTTTTTGCTTACTTTTAATGGAATAATGAATTGTTTATCAGTATATGTAATAGATAATGTAGCTGCAAGCCACCAGCCTCAAGCAGAGGTGAGGAGAGGGCGACAGAGGTCTGGTGCTACCTTGACAACCCCAGACAACTTACGCTGACTCAAGTCACATCACTTGAGGCAGGTTACTGACTTCACACAGCTCCCCCTAGAGCCACAAAGGCCTTTATAGTAGCACTTCTTCCCAAGACCTGCACACAGACTATGATGTGCAAAAGCAGCGCACTTCTTTCATTGAGTTAAGATATATCCAGATTTTAAGCAAGTCAATGTAGTGCACTGAGTCGTGTGTTCAGTGCGTTCGTATGTCTTTCTGTAGATTCTGTAGTTGAGGGCCCCATAGCCTTGCCACACCTTGTTCCTCTGCTGATGCTGATGGAGGGCGAGGACCCGGTCGAGAACAGCGACCGAGGCTGCCAGCTTCTCTACGATGTTCTCCAATCAGCTCGCAGCGCTGCTCTAAACGCCCAGGATTATCAGAAGCATGCAAACACTCTGCTCACAGGTACACACATGCACGTACACATGGTCCTGTCTTTTCACAAACACTGATGATCGGCCACATGCAACAATATAAAACTCACTGACTATCACTCATATGTACAAAATCAAATCTCTTCATACAAGTGGTTCTTGCATGAGGCCTGTAAAATAAACACTTGCTCTGATCATATGATCTGATCAAACTTCTGTCACACTGCTCCACCAGGAGGCTGGGAGCCAGTCCCTGAGCTGCTGGAGGCTTTCCGGACAGAGTTCGCCCTGCGGCTGCTCTGGGGTCAGTCGGGTGCAGAGGCCGAGAGAACGGAGCGCTACGAGAAGTTTGACAAAATTCTTTGTGTTCTCTCCAATAAACTGGAACCTGTGGAGATCACACCACTACAACCTGACCCTTTAACCTGAGCCTCGGGGTCTGTTCCACCAAGGGAAAGGTGAAGTCAGCAGAGATGAAAGAAAGATGTTGTTAGCTGAGCTGTGGTGTGTCGAGGTAGCAGAGGCAAAGAGCTGACCCCTGATATCACACAGACATGGAGGGAGAAGTTGTATCTTCCTTTACTTGCCGAGATGTGACTGGTGAGCTTGTCAAGTGACAACTTTAAATCAACTTCTAAAAAATTGAATTATATCTGTAACGTGTAGACAGACCTTTATTGTGAAAAGGGCTGTGTTTGATTCATCTTCCTGTTACAGGAAATCTGAAATGTTTACCCAAACACTTGCATCTGTTTACTTTTACAAATAACTGGAGGCTCCAGCATGAACATTATTACAAACATTATTAAAACCGAGTTAGTTCCCTTTGCACATGAACTGCTGCTGTGAGGGACCACACTGGAAATATTTCTTTTTCACCTCTGTTTATAAAATAATAAATGAATGTGTTTACTGTTTTTGGTAGTTTTTGTTGTAATATTTCTCAAAAGTAAAAGTCGAGAAACAAAAAAAACACAAGAAATCAGGCTGGTTTTTTTTTTTTTCAATTTATGACTCAAATGATACATGTAAATACATTATCTTTCTAAAAATGGATCATACAATAATATCCCTTGCAGGTTGAGAAAACATTTACTAGTGCAGGACAGAATGGTATAGATAGAGATGAGTAAACCTTATGTCTTAAACCTTATGTCTCCACTCCACTGTTGTTTCTTCTTCCTGTTTTTGGATTTTTGGCCTTCACTCTGCAAAATGAATTTGACACTAGAATGCTGTTTTTCAAATTTTATCTCATACCTCTCTAAACCTGAAACCTCTGGTGCATTTATGCTGAAAATGGGATTTTCAGGGAAGTATGAGAAATCTTATGTGCAGCGGTTCAACTTTTTTAAAATATTTGTAAATTCATAGATTCGTTTTTTCAAACTAGGGATAATGAGTAGATGTAGTAAGATAATTTTTAGCTGGTTAATCGACTTCTATGTGGAAAACCCTGACCCAAATGATCTCTTAAACATGTCTCAAGGGGATCTTTAAACAATCCAACCGGATTTTAAAAGTAAACATTTTCTTTCATCCATTCATCACTCTCAGTGATCCAATGAGAAGCTAAATCTCAAAACTCCCATTTCATCCCCTTTGAAGTCTGTTCTGGTGTCACTGATTCTTGAGAAATTTTTACAACCGATCGTTAAGATTTCAAGTCGGCATAATCACAAAGTGTTTTTTTCTTTTGATGGCCACTGTTTCAGAGAAGAACAACAGGAGTGAGAGTCAGAGGTTTGGAGGCTCATAATATGAAAACAGGTGGTTAAACCATGTAAAACCAGAATATGAGAAACAAAAATAGTCAAACCACCACTTGTTCACCAGAAGTGAGACTGCTCCAACAGTCCAGCCACGTTGGAAAGTGAAAATTAAACTGAATAATTGCCTACTATCTACTTTTGAGTTGCACCCATTATCAGATTTCACAATGTCAGTGCTATACGATGATCTCTGCAGCTGCACAGAGGCCACATCCTCAAATACAGGCAGTTCACAGGAATTATAAAATGATCAATTCTGTATTTTTACCGAACTTTGATCATTTTAAACTTTGTGCTTTTAAGTTTCACAAAAACATTGCAAAGCAAGTTTTCTTGCAAATCTTTGCTGTAGTATAGAATCTGTAATATATCACATGGAGTTAAAAGGATAGGTTGACATTTGTCAAGTCTGTTTTACAACAATACTAACATGCCCAAATGTACATTGAAACTGTTTTTGCTCTCCGTAATGATTCCTCCTGATCACAGCGGCCCTTCCTAATGCACTCAAGAGACGGGGGGAAAAGATGTACAGTCCTCATTTTGTGTAAAAATGTTTGCCAATGTTTATTTGAAGTCTGAGAAATCTGTCTTTGTCATATCAAGTGGGTATCTTCCAAAGTTAGTCTTTTTATTCCTCTTTGTGTTTCCCCCAGTGTTTTCCTGCTGAGCTACAGTGGAGGGACAATAACACGAACAAGAACAACTTTTGTTTAAAAAGCACTGAATCTTTAGAAGGTACCTGCTCGATTAGTCTAACTCAGGCTGCTGAGGCTGCACATTAGCTCCACAAAAACTTACATCACTTACAGTGGAAGTGCATTCGGAAGGGAACTCTTCAGGGTCATTATAAACGGGGAATAATTACAGCAAGCAGAAACTGCCATTGTTCACATGGACACCTACTGTTTAAAGACAGACATAAGAAACCTACCCTTTACTGTGACAGTACATTGAGACATATTATATTTTGCGCACTCTATAGAGTAGTGGTTTTCATCCATTTAAAAGTCATAAAACATCACATCACTATGATAAAATAAAAAAAAAACTCACATTATCCTGTCAGGAAAGAGGCTTTAGCAGAAGGCTGGAGTTACAAGAAAGGAGATGTTCAGCAGGTTATTAGAAATCGCAGCGGGAAAGTCAAGTGGGTGGATATATTGACACAAATGTAGCGTTAGGCTACTATGAGGCTGAGTATGTTACACAAGTGGTCACTTAGCACTGTGACAAGAAGTTCAGGTATACATTCAAAAGTTTGGTTTTAGAAGAGTTGAAATCTAGAAAGATCAGACAGGACTGGCAGTCTGTGTTCAGAGATGGCCTCTCCTGCCACAGCGAGCAGAGACAGGGAGCGTATGATACGGCAATCAGCCTTGATAACAAGCTTAATAATCACTCACTTTCATCTCACCATACACGTCATCGGCTGAGATAAAGGATGGAGAGAACAGCTCCAATTATCGTGGATGACTTTGTATTCACCTTTGGCTCTTAACTTCCATCACAAGCTCTGAGTGTGCGTGTGTGTGTGTATGTGTGTGTGTGTGTTACGGGGTGAGTTTGACATAGGATGAAGGTATATAGCCCTCCTCTCCACTGGCTCTAAGGACTCTCATCCATCCGTCTCCTTTATCCTCCTCCATTATACTCAGCAGCTCCCCCTCTGTAATGGAAATGGTGCCCTCACTGTTGCCTGCACACAAGCACACACACACACACAAGTAAGAGATGTATAAAAAGGCAGAAGAGAGGTCTGTTTATGAACAGGTTAAGCGTGAATATTAAAATGTACCTTGAAAGGTGTACAGAGCCGTGCACTGGCCAATAGGAGATTCTATGTCGTCAAACTCGTCATCAAACTCCGTGTAGATGTTTGACTGGTCGGCCGCTACAACACTGGAGATACACACACACACACACACACACACACACACACACACACACACACACACACACACACACACACACACACACACACACAAAACACATAAAGTCAACACGTCATTTGCCGTGTGGTCTGATACTCACATTGACATTTAAAGGAATAGTTTTACATTGTGGGAACTACTACAAACTTTTCTTAATGATAAGCAAGTTAGCTTAGCTTAGCATAAAGCATGGAAGCAGCTAGCCTGGCTCTATGTGAGGATAACAAAAACATCCTTTCAGAGCCTCTAACGTTCAGTAGTCAGTTCCTACTGAAATATGTCCATTGTAACATTTTTTAAATCAAAAACTCATAAAGCAACAACAGTCAGTGTGGTCACGGTCAACCAGCTGTAAACATGCTATTGCCGGCTGTAGCCGACACAGACAACACAGTGGTATCGATCTTTTCATTTAACTCTCTGCAAGAAAATGTCAAACTATTCCTTTAAATACAGGCCTCACCCATGTTGAGTATTATTGTTGATGGTGTTGGAAGATTCCTCTCCTCCCACCGCCTCCGACAGCCACGTCTGTAATAATCAACACATAAAGAGTTTCTGAAAAACGCACAAATACTTTAATATCATCTGTCAGTCTGTGTGTGTGTGTGTGTGTGTGTGTGTGTGTGTGTGTGTGTGTGTGTGTGTTTGTGTGTGTGTGTCTGTGTGTGTGTGTGTTTTAACCTCATATTTGGCTAGCTCCCCCCTCAGGCGCCCTATGTTCTGGGCAGTCTCTGTGATCTGAGGCTCCAGACTGGAGGGGTCTCCCATCTGTGGATTCTGCTCGTACACACCCTTCATCTTCTCCAGTGCGTCACTGAGGTCGAACAGGGAGAGAAAAGTGTTATTGTTTTGGAAACGTGAGCACTGATTAAGGAAGCTTCTCTCCTCTGCAGCACTGCTGATAAGGACGGGAGGGATCGGCAGAAGTGTTTACAAGTTGGGAAGAGTTGCAGAAGGGGACGTGTCAAACTACTGTTTATGACATTAGAGGTTGGGCACTGATAGTGGGCAATAATGCCTGGTGTTCCTGTCCATATTAAAGGTGATGGGTGAGGCTGAGGACAGTGCTCTTTGCAAGTTTTTCCATACCAAACTGTGAAAATTTATGAACCCTGGCTTAGCGGTAATGTCATGTTGAAACAGGAAAGAACCTTCCCCAAACTGCTGCCGCAAAGCTGAAAGTACACTATTGTCTAAAATACCAGAGTATAATGAAGCATTTCTATTTCCCTTCATTGGAACTAAATGGCCTGTCCCTTACCAGGACCAACAAAAGTATGTGGACACCTTTAGCCACATAATAGATATACTGTACATCAACTCTGAAACCAGCTAAGCACTGTGGTCTGAGAGAGCCTGAGAAAACCTGGGACAGAACTAACTGATTGCATTTATTGCATCATTTGCATATGCATCCGTGGCTTGTCTGTTGTACACGTTCAAGGATTTCACAGGAAAACTTAAAAAACTTATTTCCATTGGTGAAACATCATCAAATGGCCCCCGAAAACATATTTTTTCCATTTACTTCTTTGAGCAATGTGATCCTGCATTAACGTTTGAAGTTGGACGAAGATGACATCATGTATTTTCCATGTACTAATCAGGGTTTGACATTATTTGAATCAAAATGTGATAAGAATCGTCAGGCTGCTGCTTATATCGCCAGGCCTCTATCTGTAATATCTGATCAAACCACACCCACATAGTCCTGATGAAGCACAGCTCAGTGTGAAAGACTTCATAATTAAAGTGCTCATTTAGTCATGGATATTCAGTGTTCTATAGATATGACTTCAAGGGCTTGTGCAGTTAATTAACCAGGGTAGCTAACCCATATTAATTAAGGAAATCCACTGATATTTTAGACATGTTAAAGTGAAGCTGCTCCAAAAAGGACAGACACACTGTTGCATCATCAGGAGCTGGTAAACAAGAGAGTCTACAGCCAAGCTAGCATAGCTTAGCACAAAGCACCACTGTACATAACAACTGCACATTTACATGTTGACAGTGACAATGCTAACGTGCTTATGTTTAGCAGCTAAAATGTTCACTATTTTTACCATCCAAGCTTAAATGCACTTAACAAAGTACAGCTGAGTCTGTTTTGGACAATCAAAACTTTGACCTGATGTTGATGCTCGATTAAAGGTCAGGGAATCAGCAAAGCCCTTAA